GAAGCGAGTCATACTCAGTTTGATGCTGTTGTGGGGGTGAAGAACACATCAAAAGGTACATTAGCTTAGAGAAGAATAATTAAGAATCTCTTGGTGTTCCTCTGCGCTGCTACATACTTGTATATTTGTGGATGCCTTACATGGGTAGACTCAACTAGCTACTCGAGTCCAGACTAATTCTTTAAATGGTTAAATATAACACATACCCGGGGCATTAACTTCAAACTCAACAAGCCGCAATGTTGGACAGAAAACAGGAGACGTTTTTTCATCCATAGAGTTACTAGGTGGGTTACCAGGCGACGCACAAGCCTGTCTGTCTTCTATTCCCTCTGCCTCTTTCCCCTCCCTCCAAATCTCTCTCTTCCAGTGGGTGATCATTCCTGTTCTCTCTCCCAGTGGGCAAAATATTCTAGGGTAATAGTCAACGTTGAATTAACGTTGACAGATAACGATGACAGGAGTAAAATCTGTTTTAATACTCTCAGGTCAATCACACCCACATATAATACTCCATAGAAGATTTTGAAATAACTACATATAACTTCACTATTATTTCGCGCAATACTTTTACTAAAATATTGTTATTATTATTGTGATAATGACGAGCATAACGAACAAAGAAATATTTATCATAGTTACTATATAAATATTTCCGCTTTCTTAGCTTATCGTTCATATCCATTTTCTTCTATGGTAAAATACTTAACAGTAACTTAAATATATTAACATCTAGAATTATGAAAACAAAATTCACCCGATTCACTTGTGTGTCACCATCTCACTAGTGGCCTCGATGGGGACAGGAAACCGGCGGTTTGTCAAAGGTACCTCCCCTCCATTTTTCTTTAGGATTCTACTCAGCTGAATTATGAACTGCAGGAATACTAATAATAATTTATATTTATGCAAATGACATTCTAAACATATAGGACAGTATTCGTGGCAAGACTGAGTAACTTATGTAAAGCCACAAATACACAGAGCGATTTGGATATAACTTTAAATATTTAGGTAATTTATTTATACATTTAATGGAATAACAGGTAATGCCAAACGAGAAGTGAGTTATCTCAGAATATAATTAGACAGCTGCTACGAGCTGCTTCCTGGGGATGTGTAACAAAGAAGGAGGCCAGGTCGAGGACCGGGCCGCGGAGACCCCTAATCCCCGAAATCATCTCAAGATAACCTCAAGAAAATACATACCCCAACATGGTTGGGTCAGAGTTCGCATAAACGTAAAGAGTGCCACTGGATAGTGTCAAAAGGGACCCCCCCATGATGAATTTTGGAATATCATATTACTGAACTGAATTAATTTTTTACTTTATTTTTTTCTTCTGTATTTCTTTCACTCTTACAATAATATAAAATATTTTACACTGATGTCTGCAAAATTAAAAAAAAAACACTGCATGTAACAGCCTGTAAATAACCTGTAGCATATCTTCAAGACATCATCCTGCAGACACTTGCCCAATTTTTCTTGAGGGGGTTAAATGGGTTAATTCTCAAGTCTTGTATCCCAGCTGTGTGTCACACGAAGGTAGCGAGAGATACGTCATATCACACAATGTGGGGCAGAGTGTATGTGGGAAACCCTCAGTATGGCCGCCACACACACAGCGTTGCCACTGTGTGGCGAGGGCTGCGTCACGTGGCTGTGGCGAGGGCTGCGTCACGTGGCTGTGGTGATGGATGCGTCACGTGGCTGTGGCGAGGGCTGCGTCACGTGGCTGTGGCGAGGGCTGCGTCACGTGGCAAACTCATGCCAAAACAACAAATAATAATCTTTCATTAAAGTGATCACTCTCTCACCACCCCATCATCGCAATTACCCATTCACTTCCTCTCACACTCGCGAGCTCATTGTGCCTCATACTCTGACACTTATATCACCCTCTACTTACTATACAAAGTAAATCTAACAACGCCACACATTACATCTTTATGGTTTCCCACTGAAGCTATTTCACAGAAAAGAAAAATCAGTATTACATAATAACGTCACTGATATCAGGCGTCTCCGCTATCCCTAAAATATAGACTGTTCCTCCAGGCAACACGAGGAAGGCTCTCCCTAGCTCTGGAGGACAGGGAGGGAGGGAGGGTCGTCTAGCACCCTCACTCCAGCCCTATCGGACAGGGAATGAGGGAAGGAGGTCGTCTAGCACCCTCTCCATAGCCCTGGAGGACAGGGAAGGAGGAAGGGTCGTCTATCACCCTCTCCATAGCCCTGGAGGACAGGGAAGGAGGGAAGAAGGTCGTCTATCACCCTCTCCATAGCCCTGGAGGACAGGGAAGGAGGGAAGGAGGTCGTCTATCACCCTCTCCATAGCCCTGGAGGACAGGAGGTCGTCTAGCCCCCTCTCCACAGCCCTGGAGGTCCATGAGGGTCGAAGGTCTCACAGTAATGAGAACATCACCGGGTCTTTATCATTGTCAGAGTTTCCGTAGTGTGGGAACAGGAAATGACTGGCTCAAGGCGTCTATTCATAATCTTGCTCCTCATTTTTTATCATTCATTAATCACCAGCCTCAGAGATATGAGTGTTCATGCTAAAGTAAAAGAAAAAAACGAAGACATTGATGAGTGACGTTGCCTAATGCCTTACCTTGAGGTTACCTTGAGGTGCTTCCGGGGCTTAGTGTCCCCGCGGCCCGGTCGTCGACCAGGCCTCCTGGTTGCTGGACTGATCAACCAGGCTGTTGGACGCGGCTGCTCGCAGCCTGACGTATGAGTCACCGCCTGGTTGATCAGGTATCCTTTGGAGGTGCTTATCCAGTTCTCTCTTGAACACTGTGAGGGGTCGGCCAGTTATGCCCCTTATGTGTAGTGGAAGCGTGTTGAACAGTCTCGGGCCTCTGATGTTGATAGAGTTCTCTCTCAGAGTACCTGTTGCACCTCTGCTTTTCAACGGGAGTATTCTGCACATCCTGCCATGTCTTCTGGTCTCATGTGATGTTATTTCTGTGTGCAGGTTTGGGACCAGCCCCTCAATTATTTTCCACGTGTAAATTATTATGTATCTCTCCCGCCTGCGCTCAAGGGAGTACAGATTTAGGCTCTTTAGTCGGTCCCAGTAATTTAGATGTTTTACTGAGTGGATTCTAGCAGTAAAGGATCTCTGCACGCTCTCCAGGTCAGCAATTTCTCCAGCTTTGAAAGGGGCTGTCATTGTGCAGCAGTACTCCACTCTAGAGAGCACAAGCGTTTTGAAAAGTATCATCATCGGTATAGCATCTCTAGTGTGAAAAGTTCTTGTTATCCAACCTGTCATTTTTCTTGCAGTTGTGACGGCTACTTTATTGTGTTCTTTAAAGGTAAGGTCTTCCGACATGAGTACACCCAGATCCTTTACATTGCCTTTTCGTTCTATGTTATGATTTGCCTGAGTTTTGTACGTGGTTTCTGTTTTTATATTTTCAATTTTTCCATAGCGCATGAGCTGGAACTTATCCTCGTTAAACACCATATTATTTTCTGTAGCCCATAGAAAGACCTGATCTACATCTGATTGGAGGTTTGCCGTGTCCTCTATGTTGCCAACTCTCATGAAAATCCTAGTGTCATCTACAAAGGATGATGTCGGAAAATCCGACACCATTTAATATATCATACAGACAGATAATAGCTGTATTGTATAAACAAGTTAACCCATAGAAAACGTAACTTGTAGTGGAATTACCGTCTATAGAAAAGGGGATATCATCACCACATACTATTATAATTTCACCAGCTATTCTGCTGGGAATTATTCTTAAATACATTAGTCTTTGTACTTTACCATCATAAAAACATCTCATATAAATTAACTTAATTATCAATATTAAAGTAGAGTAAATGTGACCCTTCTATCACTTTCTGTCATCTAGACAATGTAAGCCAGGCGTCAGTGAGGAAGGAGGGGCAGCCATTATTTATATATAGACCAGAGGCTCACGGGAGCAAATACGGCTCCTGTTAATTTTACTTGGACGAAGTGTTATGGAAACCAAAGGTGTACCATTATCACACGCTGTCAACAAATTCAAGTTAAGTGTTCTACCGAAACCCATTTATCTATCATTTATGGCCATTAATGTCAGTATATAAGGTGAACCGGTTAGAGCACGAGGCAGCCTCAAACTAAAGGTAATTAAGCCAGGTCTTTATTGTTCCATGTACAGTGTTTCTCTGATATACCTGTCATATATAGGATTCTGGCTTTACAGCTAGCGCCCTTTTGACAGGTCAAGACGAGGAAGCATGCTTTGTGCATCAGTTACCAGGGTGATGGAAGCTACCTCAAAGAGGGAAAATGTGGTGTCTACAACCTAGTTATATCTGGTGGACTAAGACCTGCTGTACTATAAGATAAGGAACCTCTTCAATGTATGTAGTCTAATACTGTAGTTTGATTGGCTGCATATATATAAATTAAATTAATATAAACCCCCCTAATGTGTAGAGGATCGATTTGTGAGATTATGAGATTATTGCAGAAATACAGTCCACTTATCATTATACAAATTGCTATCGAAGTATATAAATTAACGTAAATATAAATTCTATATATATTCATATAAATTAAAATAAATATAAATCTCACAGGTCGGTTCCCACAGATGATATAATCATTTGTAAAGGATGATATGATAATAAACCTGCCTCTCGATGCAAATTAAGAAATAAAAACAAAAACAAAAAATACTCATTTAAATTAAAACATTCAATCTTTATTGTTACTTTATGTTGTGTATCAAATAATTTACCTAACAGCCCGAAGGTTCTATCAAAATCTGCCGGAGAGGAGAGCTTGACTTACACGAGCAGGGCTTAGTTGGTTTACATTTGGTTGCTTAGTGTTGTAGAATCATCAAGCAACCATATTCATTCTCCCAAAATGAAGTGCTCAACATAAATGGATGTAAAGAAGTGCTGCTACTAATCCCCAGGTAAAAATTAGTACGCAGTAACCCGTGGGAGTAGGAGCAGGTGAGGGCTGGCGGGCTCTCACACCCTCTGTCACTACACAGATATAAGTATAGGTGACTCGGGGGTCATCAGCACTCCTCACAACCTTCACCAGCATTCTCCAGCACCGCGTCTCTTCAACCAACATGAAGATTCTTTTACTTCTCTTCATCACCGCCGCTGCCGCCTTACCTAAAGGTGAGTGTGGTTGTAGTTGAGATTTCTGGTGTCGACTCCAAGGCTGCTCCAGGACTCTGGGACTACCTAAGAGTCATTTAAACACCGAGCCAAATGAGCTGTTGTTTCAAATGTCTTTTTTCCGTTATATATTTATATAATAGAACGTCTTCTCCTTTGCATGTAAACTCTCTAACATTATTCTTTGCATATTTTTATCGATTGAACTATTATTATTATTATTAACTTATAGTATAGAGTGCAGTTGATTCACAATTGTACCAGAGTTCGATTCCCAGGTAGGGTGAGACGTTTGGACACGTTTCCTTATATCTGATGCCTCTGTTCACCTGTTATACTCAAATTCTGTCAGTTGAAATGTAACCAGTCACAGGCAAGTAGGCCTCTGACGTCATGCCAGACAGAGGAGCATCAAGCCATGCTCCCAGCAGCCTCAGTTATCCTCACAGACTCAGAGTAGAAGGACCTCGGCTAGGCAGATATATACCTTGCTATCTCGGTCAATAAATATATACAGAAGCGACTACTGTGTCTACCTTCTACCCCGAACAAGGCAAACGAATACACCTAGCATCACATAGGTACTTAAGAGTTAGACAAATACTGTGGGTAGCATGCTATATATGGTCAGTCGTTGACCTAGTGGGACCTCAACAAGCTGAATAGGCTTTCTCTCCCCGACAATGCTAAACAAGACTATATTTCTATTAATGTTATTCAATAAAGAGGAATATGTTTTACTTAAGTTTATACTGCCTTGATTTTCTATAATTAAAGAAAACCACAACTTTAGGTTGGGATACTATGATATAAAGAACTTTCAGTGGATTCCCTACTAATTCTTAACCGATTCAGCTTAGACGCCTTGAAACCAACGGACACCGTGACGCGATTTTGACCACTGCGTCTCTATACTGCTGTGGGGCATTCATCTTTAGCGGCCTAGATGGATGTGAAGCTTGACGCAGTTATTCCCTGGAGTCAAAGGGAAGTGGGTAACTTTTTCAGTTGTCCGGTTGGATCGTTAGGTGAGAAGATGGTGTCCAGCGCTGGCTTGGCCAAGAGGTGCCGGAGATGTCTTGATGGGCTCTTGGTGTGCTCTTGGGGCGTGGTGGGCGTCTGGCTCTTTTTCCGCCAGATGTCACTGGAAGACTTTACTGCGTTGTTGCAAGACTGGGCTAGAGTTTAAATTAAGAGGGTTCATCTCGACAAGTCTGCTGTTAGGTTACGACTTTGTCCGGCTACCCACAGTTCGTAGAATGAGTGAATAATGACTTTCATTATTCAGTTTCAAGACATATCGCCTTGGGATCACTGGGTGTTTTACAGCTACTCTGCGTGGGGCCACCGTGATTCTGCCTAACAGTGTGTTTATCTGGAAACCTGTGCATAGGACAAATGTTTTCCACCGACAGACGATGTGCAGGTTTGTTGTTTTCGGACACGCATCTGGCAGTTCTTCCACCGTGGGCCCTAAATCATCATCAGGAACAACAACAGTCATACTCAAATATTATTATCATTATTTCCTCAGCAGCCTTTCACACACTATGAAGTTAGAATCAAAGGCTTTACTCGTAAGATTTTATACAGAGACTCTCCGATACCACACTTTAAGCTGTGCTCCTTTCCCACAAAAATAAAAGGATCCATTAAATCCCCACACGAAGACGTCCTTCCAATCTCACACACTATATAGTAACCCCCTGCACTGCTATGCATGTAGCCATGTACTACACATCCATCACAACGTTCTACCTCCCTCTGCACAACCCAGCCACGTCAACACCTCAGTGCTGCCCAACAACACCACCCACATACCTCACAACCCTCTAAGTGCGACCCCTTACACCAACAAGAACCCCTAACCCTGCCCTGTCTGCTCTACTGCGCTTCCAACACTCACTAAGCACAGTTCACTTTCCCACAGCCGCCGTGGGTTCGGTCCACTATACCACCTGCTATAGTGGATTCAACAAAGGAGGTTCATTCCAGACCTTCTCCGATTACGTCCCGGACCTGGGACTATACAACTTCGACAATACCATCTCCAGCGCCACCGTCACCGGCATGTGAGTTCCTTTAGTTGGGGGTGGATTTTCTACTGGTTTCATATAAAAATTTCTTCCCCGTTTATGTCTTTTTCATTTCTGTTTATATCCTTCCACTGCCCCACCCACCTTACTCCTAATGCCTTTCCCCACCTTCCTTCGTCCCCCCACCCCTTCATCCTCAACCCCTTTCCCTTACTTCCCAACCCCTCCTCCTCCCGTGGACTAAGAGAATGCTCCTTCCCCAGCTGGTTTTACTACGAGGATGAGGACTACAACTTGGCCTCCAGTGGCAGCGTCTACTGGCTCCATGGCTTCGATTACTTCAGCAACTTTGACAATAGCTACGACGACGTGGTGAGTGTTTTGCATTCTTATTCCTGCTCGTACATAAGGGCGGATTTAGACAAGGTGAGGCCCTGAGCTATTGGAAAGCTTTATAAGCCCTAAGCTATGACAAACTAATGACACCATAAGCTATAGGAAACAGTAGAGACCCTTAGCTGCGTGATGCTGTTGAGGCCATATTTGACAATTGTTAAAAGAGAATAAGACTGTAACAACTGAACTCGACAAGAATGCCGCCAAAATGAATACCAAACCTGTGCAAAGATGGAAGGTTAGGGGTTGCTTCTTTAGAGTTTTATTATAAATCTTTCATTATTCAGTTTAAAGACATTTTGCTATATAAAAAATACTTGAAATTCGTGCCCTGTGAGTCGAATGACTGAAAGAATTTAATTTATGAGTAAAATGCTCTTTAAACTTGCAATTGCAAGCTTAATATGTAATTTGAAAGCTATGAAATGATTAACACTGAAAACTAAATTTAAATTGTAGCAGACCATGAGACCCTAAGCTGTAACTTAGTTTATGCCTAAACCCGGCCCTGCTCCTACATATACGCAGATATTGTGCTTCAGCTCCTGGGTGACGCCTTTTAGAAGGAGCTTGTCTAGTGACGCCTGACTTTCCCGAGTCTTCGAGTTCTGTGTCCATCTATGTCGTCTCCGTCTGTCCATCATTGACCCCTCGTTCTGTCTCGACCTATTACCTGTCACCACCTGTGACCTTTATTCTGTTCCCACCTGGGAACAGTTTCCGTCCGTAAGCTGAACTCACCGTCATCGTTCATTCGGTCTCTTATAGTCGTTAATGTCGTGATCAGGTCTACTCTCTAACGACGGGAGAATAGCCCCCCTCCCTTGTACTTTGGTACTGGATAACGTAGGTGGCGAATAATGCCCTAGACGATTCCTTGACCAGATTCCTGAAAGACGTGCTTAACATGTTCCAGCTCCTCATGTGTGATGAAGTTATTCTGTTTACATGTTCCACCTGCCATTGATTACGTGCTTTACTCCCCCCTCCCTCCCTCTCTCTCTCTGTCTCTCTGTCTCTCTGTCTCTCTGTCTCTCTGTCTCTCTGTCTCTCTGTCTCTCTCTCTCTCTGGGTATGTTGGGATGCTGTCCGAGGTTAAGTCTTTCAGTATGACTCAAGCTGAATATAATCCTATATGTATATATATCATATTTATCTATTTATCTATTTCTGTAACACCGCAGTTCTCATCGCTGCGGTACGGAGGGAGTCCGGACTGCCTTGGCTGCGACACTTGGACGGTGTACCAGGGCCAGTACTTCACTGGCAGTGAGTTCTATGGCACCACCGACAGCAACTTCTTCGGCAACCTCCAGGGCCAGGTCTCCGCCATCCTCCTCACGGGCACCTCCGCCTGGACCTTCTACGAGTGAGTTCATTCTTCAATCTCGTTCACCTCGAGGCGTAGAGATTTTAGGTAATATCCTCCTAAGACTGCACACCTTCTGTGGTTGAGTGTTCAATAAAGCCTTGAAACTGCATATATTATTTATAAGGCTACTTAGGCCTGGATGTTAAATTTTTGCATTTCCTTAAATGTTCATAAGTCTATCCATTGTACAAAACATTAGATCTTTTCAGCAGCTTTTGAGCAGTTAAGTCACAGCTGATTGGTTTAATTCCCGTAGCAGGACAGAAGCGTTTGAGCAACGATTAAGACACATCGTAGAAGTCATAAATTAATTTACATTATTGTGTTCTGTGTTGCAATATTTTACCCCGGTCATTAACCCTACAGGTCAATTTAGCACCAAGTATTAAATTGTAGCACTTAGCAGCAGCAGTTATATTATACACGACACAGGGTCTTAACTGGATCAAAACCACCAGAGACCAACCGGTCCTGGATGCATGTGAATTCCTCAGTAATAACTTCTTATTAAGACGCCGGTTCTTAACTTGGTGTTTGTCTTGAACAGCGGACCGTCGTACTCGGGCAGGAGCGTGTGTCTCTACCCTAACACAGTCCACGACGTCAGCTCCAGCGGGGAGGTCCTCAACTTGGGCATCTACCCAGATGTAAGTAAGAGGCGTTCAATCCTCGACCGTCCAAGTGATTGGGCACCAATCCTTTCCTCCGTCTTATCTTAAATTCCTGTCCCCCCTATCCCTCCCAAGTGTTATACAATCGTAATAGATTAGCACTTTCCCCTGAGTATTGCCTATGCTTCTATTCCGTATAGCATTGCACATTGTTGCAAAACATCGATTATTATTATCAATATTGCATTGTTGCACTGCACATGTTGTGACGTATGGTCTCTCCCTGGGTGGCAGGTGACGCAAGTAGGGATGTACGACAACAGTATCCAGTCGGTGCGCAGAGGGTGTTGGTCTGATGTTGTCTTCAAGGCCCCCGAGGTCCACGCCCAGGGCCAGGCCAAGAACGGTGCCTGGGGATACTTCCGACCCGAAGCTGGCCAAGAACACTCGGCAGCTGGCCAAGGACACCCGGCAGCTGGCCACAGCCGCCCCGCAGCTCGTCCGCAGAAGGTTTAGGAGATACAAATGGTGATGATTTGCTGAAAGTGTTGCCAAAAGGAGAGAGAGAGAGAGAGAGAGAGAGAGAGAGAGAGAGAGAGAGAGAGAGAGAGAGAGAGAGAGACGATTGCAGTTGCATAACACATGTTATGGTGACTCCCGTCAAATGCTATCATCATCTAATCTTATCATACCACTGTAAAACACCACGATGAAAGCCATATGGTGTTACAAGCTACTTTTTTAACTCTACAAACTTTACCATTTTACATATATAAATAGTTGTATAATACTGTATTATTACTTATAAATAAATATTTGGTGTATTCTTTTCTGTATTCAACCCATTAGACACAGCTATTCTCGATTTATTTACAGATTTATTCACTGAAAATATGACATTTTACATTTATAAATAATTACAAACTAACAAAAAATCAAGAAAATTTATGTAAATGTAATAAGCAAAATAATCTAAGTTGAAAAGATTGCCTCTGGCTCAGCCCCCAGCGGTATTACAGTCAGAAAACCAGACGTCAATATATATATATATATATATATATATATATATATATATATATATATATATATATATATATATATATATATATTCAAGTTATTGATTAACTTGAATATATATATATGACCATTCATTGTCACCCTAGGATCAAAAAGCTAAAACTCGATCCTGTAGGCACGAAAGGTTAGTACAAATAATTACACACACACACACATACATATACAAATACACACTCACCACACCCACATACATATAGACATATACAAATACACCCACCCACACACACACTGATGGTGTGTGTGGTGGGTAACTACTGGTTATATTCAACAGGTAAACATTTTCCAACCCAATGCTCACACTTGGGGAGGACAGGATGAAGCCCTCCTCGCCCCCAGCCCACAAGATAAACAGAAATAATGGTTTGTTTAGAGTAAATTGAAACCCCGACGGCTCTATTCAAGCCTGAAACGCTGAGGTACTCGCTTTCTCTTGTTCTAAACTGGAAATAATCTTCGGGAGATGTTTTACCAGCGACCTCTTTGAGGGATGTTGCAGAACTGGAGTGTCCTCTATATGTTGGGACGTCAGGTGAATTCTTAACATAGTCCCAGTGGTGTACTTGGTCGGTGTGACCCCCTAGCATAGTCCTGGGCTGTGTTTTGTGCCTGGATGATGCGGTGTGGCCCAAGATAGTGTGGTGTGTCCTTTGCGAAACACAGATTAATGCAGTGTGTTATTAGTGAAGCCTATGATGGTGTGACGTAACCCTAGTGGAGCTCTGTGGCGGCTCCTGACGCAGTCCTGTACGTAGAGTCGTGTTTATGGAAGGAGCCAGCCCGGCCTGCGTCCGGAGAGCCAGCCCGGCCTGCGTCCGGAGAGCCAGCCCGGCCTGCGTCCGGAGAGCCAGCCCGGCCTGCGTCCGGAGAGCCAGCCCGGCCTGCGTCCGGAGAGCCAGCCCGGCCTGCGTCCGGAGAGCCAGCCCGGCCTGCGTCCGGAGAGCCAGCCCGGCCTGCGTCCGGAGAGCCAGCCCGGCCTGCGTCCGGAGAGCCAGCCCGGCCTGCGTCCGGAGAGCCAGCCCGGCCTGCGTCCGGAGAGCCAGCCCGGCCTGCGTCCGGAGAGCCAGCCCGGCCTGCGTCCGGAGAGCCAGCCCGGCCTGCGTCCGGAGAGCCAGCCCGGCCTGCGTCCGGAGAGCCAGCCCGGCCTGCGTCCGGAGAGCCAGCCCGGCCTGCGTCCGGAGAGCCAGCCCGGCCTGCGTCCGGAGAGCCAGCCCGGCCTGCGTCCGGAGAGCCAGCCCGGCCTGCGTCCGGAGAGCCAGCCCGGCCTGCGTCCGGAGAGCCAGCCCGGCCTGCGTCCGGAGAGCCAGCCCGGCCTGCGTCCGGAGAGCCAGTCCGGCCTGCGTCCGGAGAGCCAGTCCGGCCTGCGTCCGGAGAGCCAGTCCGGCCTGCGTCCGGAGAGCCAGTCCGGCCTGCGTCCGGAGAGCCAGTCCGGCCTGCGTCCGGAGAGCCAGTCCGGCCTGCGTCCGGAGAGCCAGTCCGGCCTGCGTCCGGAGAGCCAGTCCGGCCTGCGTCCGGAGAGCCAGTCCGGCCTGCGTCCGGAGAGCCAGTCCGGCCTGCGTCCGGAGAGCCAGTCCGGCCTGCGTCCGGAGAGCCAGTCCGGCCTGCGTCCGGAGAGCCAGTCCGGCCTGCGTCCGGAGAGCCAGTCCGGCCTGCGTCCGGAGAGCCAGTCCGGCCTGCGTCCGGAGAGCCAGTCCGGCCTGCGTCCGGAGAGCCAGTCCAGCCTGCGTCCGGAGAGCCACTTGACCTGTGTCGTAGCCAGGAGCTAGAGCCTTCAGCGGGTGCAACCCAAAGGAGGCCGGAGACGAAAAAGAAACACAGCTTGAATGTGGAGCACTAGCTTGTACGAAACTTTTGCCTGTACGGATCACCTGACTATAAGGAGCGCCGTACGTAGCACATGCAGATAACTTTCTCCGTCGCTGAAGAGCCACCTGCTGCAGGTCCTCATCCGTTTATCAACCCCCCTCCCCTCCCCTCAGGGCCTGACGAAGGCTGTGAACAACACACACGCACCACATAAACACACACACACACACACACACATCACAAGCGCTGAACGTTCCTCTTAATACGTATTTCTTTTGAGTTCATCGTGTTTCAGTCGGTAGTGCGTGTGCCTGGAGGGAAGTCCAGGAATGCGATTGATTCCATCGTACGATTTTGATATTTTCTCATCCAGGATAACTCGGTTAGGAGCCTAGACGCTAAGATAAATATCCCTGGAAGAAAAGTGACGATTAAAAGTCGTCTTGGCGCAGAAAACGTAAGAGATATAACATCCGAAGACTGAAACGTTGGACGTGTAACGCCCAGAGACTGAAAATAAATTTATATATTAAGTGACAGACATATTAAGTATAAATCGCTGTTGGATAGAAACGTTTAGAGTTCCATGTGATGTTCCATGTTCCATGACCCCTGCGTTCGAACCCTGGGCAGGACGGGACAACTAGCCACCAATTTGTAACAGTTCGCCCATGTTCACCCAACATTAGAGACGTGGTTATAAATCGATTGTAGAATCGTATTCTAGGGAAAACCAGCATTACAACTATAAAGCTTAAAATGAGCTGTGGGTCATGTTAGTGAAAACTAGAAAGCTGTGGTTTAGGAAGAGTTCTGGGCCCGGCAGTCTCTAGGCCTACCAACAGGAATCAGAATATGTCTGTTCCTGTACCTTCCAGTGTTAGTGAAAATATATAATATAAATGGTACCCGGCGCTGCTCCAGTGAAGGACACTACATCTTCACTGATGTGATGACCAAACCATTCATCAGAAAATGGACGGACCGAAACGACGACGTTTCGGTCCGTCCTGGACCATTGTCAGTTCGTGTCATAGAAGAGAGGAAGTCCAAGGAAGTTCGGGCAAAATCGTTTCTCCGTTTAATGGTGTGTAGTTTGGTCATCATATCTTCAGTCACGTTACTGTGACTCATCTTGACTATACACGACCTTCATCACGGTAATCATCTGCACTACTCATAGCCATCCTCATCACTATCCATGTTCACTAAATACTATTCTCATTTCTGTAACCATCATTACTAACCTCTGAGTCCCATATCTATAAACTTTCTCCTTCACCACCTTCCATGTGATGGAAGGGGTGAAATTTACAGGGGTGAACCCTTGTAAATTTTTCACTGAAAACTGTCTTCATTTAATCATTATTAAGAAAATACTGTGCTGGTGATTCTTAGTGAGGATGGAGCCGGTTAGTTAGCGAGATTGGAAATGAGTATAATTTGCAATTTCATGTAAAGGAGGGAAGCGGTCCATGGAGGCTCGATCCCGACCCGCCTATGACCATCCCCGGACGAAGACCCTTCACCCTGCAAAGTTTGATACGGCTTGCCGCAAGCGTCTGATCCCACACCTCGGACAGAGTCTCTTGTACAAATATAAACGGTATGTATCACAACGGAAGATAACAACAATAACCGTCAAATTGCCTTATTACCAAGACGGCATCAACCGCGGACGCTGCAAGGAAACATTTGTGAAGAAAATTGGGAACAAAACTAGAAACCCCGTTCGTTAAATTTAACAAGTGCTGCCATCTGTTGCCGGCATCCTCGACAACTGCCGCTCTCGTTATCCGTTAGCCGAGAGAAACAATAAGTTTTGTTGTAATATTTGTCCAATATATCGGTATTATTAGTCATAAAAAGAGGACGCAAAGAGTGCGCAGTGTTAAAGGAAACTGTCGTTAACATGATTGTTGTACAGCTTGGCGGGACCACATGCCGTCAGCTGCTGCAGTTTCTCGAGCTTTCTCCCCCAGACAGACCTCCTCCATCCCTTCCGTCCCGCGGTACATCAGTTGGGTCTTCCTGGTCGGCTAGACGGGACTCCGCACCGGTTTGTCTGGTGTGTGTGAGAGTGTTTGTGTGTGTGTGTCTGGACACCAAGGGTGTGGGTGGGTGTGCGAGTGCGTGTGCTCGACCAGCAAGAAGAGACTGTGTTAGCCGCGTCCTCCGTCGTTGTGTGCACGCAAAACACAATGAAATTGCGGCTGGTAAGACATATTTTGACCATTGTTTGAGAAATGTTTAGTCACCGACGTGCTGGTGTTTACCGACAAGCGTCTGGGACGCTCTAAACTACGTCAGTCCTGCTTGTACAGTTTATTCCTGAATATTTTAATTATAGATGCTGGGGGACAAATGCTTTACTTCAAATCTTCGACTCACTATTGTATCATTAGAAATTTTCCGTAAACAAAAAGCCCAATTTGATTATAATGGTCTGCTGTTGGTACTATTTTATTTTAAAGCTTTGTAAAACTTTGTAAAGCTTTGTAAGCCTTTATAAGTGCTAATGATACCCTGCACGTACATCTTGCATTTACAAAACTTAACGTGAGCTGTGTGGCTCAATTCTTGTCAAGAATGGACTTGAATAAGAGGTACAGAATGCCAGAAAGAATAACTTGATCCAGTGTGATCGGTATCTTTCTTATAATTTCGAATTCACATTGTCAGGGATAGGAAGTGTGAATTAGGCTTATTAAAATCTACCTAGGACCAACTACCGACTACAGAATGCAACCCACAACAGTTCCCTAGCTTCCTTGTACCTATTTAACTGTTTGGGGAACAGCCACATCAGGTGAAAGGAAACTGTCCAATCTTTTCTGTCTCGCACTGGATTGAACTCTGGTCCTTCGGGTGTAAGCCAAATCTGTAGGCCGCTGCGCTACAGATCCCTTCTGAAGAAAACAAAAAAAATCTTTGATCTATATTCGCACTGAGCACCCAATCACTACTAGCGCTGAGCACCCAATTATTACTATCGCTGAGCACCCAATTAATACTAGCACTGAGCACCCAATTAATACTAGCACTGAGCACCCAATCACTACTAGCGCTGAGCACCCAATTATTACTATCGCTGAGCACCCAATTATTACTATCGCTGAGCACCCAATTAATACTAGCACTGAGCACCCAATTAATACTAGCACTGAGCACCCAATCACTAATAGCTAGCACTGAGCACCCAGTCAATACTAGCATTAAGCACGCTAAACAATACTTCATTAAATACAAATATTATATAAAAGTACTTTTGTGTATATTTAGGCCTACAGTACATTAGGTTAGGTGTTTTTCTGTTGGAAATTAATTGTATTTAGAATGCGTGGTTAAAGCATTTAAAGACGTATGATTCGATCATAGGAAGTGAGTGAAGCACCGTTCAATAAAAGTTTGCAGCCCGTCCTCCAAACAAAGACCTAAAAGTGATTCCATGCACCCGCGAAACCCCCTGTTTATGAATGACAAACGGTTTACACACGACTCACAACTGATTTCGTTCGAACACTTCCGAAACAAGTGCTTCACTGACGAATTTTGTTCGAACCACAACGCTGTGGTTTTGTTCGAACCACAACGACTAGTACCAGAGGAGAGAGGTATGAGTTACGTGGAAAGACTACATTAAACATGACGTCACTGAAAAGAGAGACGGGTTTGGAGAGACATGATCACCACACGTAAAATACTCATGGAAATGAACAGGACTGACAAGGAGAGAATATTTGACATTATTAGTAGACAAGCAGGGGAACACGCGTGAATTTTCAGTACTCAAATGAGCCACGGAGACATTTTGAATATTTGTTTCAGTGTAAGATTAGTGAACACGTGGAATATGACAAGTGGAGAAATTCCCTATCCACAACTTTAAAAACAATATGAGAGAATCTATTGGAATCTATTATAGATTCCAGAGCCAACCCGTCCTCGACTCAAGTCCATTACATTCAGCGGTCAACCCCACAGACGCATTCATAAATTTTAACATGCTGTTTATTCAAAACGGGAATTTTCTCAAGTATAAATTAATATTATAATATATTAGCATATTGTGTATATATAGGCATAGGATAGGTTAGGTTAGGTGTTTAGGTTCTGTTGGCGATTATTTGTATTTGTAGTACGTGGGTGAAGCATTTATAGCGTTGTGATTCGAACAAAATTCGTCAGTGAAGCACTTGTTTCGGATATGTTCGAACGTCAGCAGTTGAGTCGTGTGTAAACCATTTTTCATTCATAAACAGGGGGGTTTGGCGGGTGCATGGAATCACTTTTGTATCTTTGTTTGGAGGACGGGCTGCCAGAGCCTATACTCCAGTCGACTGAGGTTCGAGAGACTGAACCAAAGAGCTGCAACTCAACTCCCATAAAGCTTTACTTGGTGAGCGTTTTTCCGCCCGCGAAAATGTAAAGCTTCTTTTTATTGCTTTGTTTACAATAAGCTATTTTTTTGACTTGCAGCCAGCTTAGCTGTAATGTTGTTGGTTTGGGTCTGAAGGGATTAAACACGAACTGTTGTCGAATCATCTAATTACGAAAAGTAACTCCAGCCACTAGACGTTGATAGACACTATAACAAGCAAGACGTGCTCAAGAACTTCTGTAACCTCTAACACACACACACACACACACACACACACACACACACACACACACACACACACACACACACACACACACACACACACACACACACACACAGTCTCATGGCATGCCATGTGTACATCAGAGGAGAAGGGCGAGTTGAATATATCTTCCATGATGGCCAGAAACCGTATGACACTGCCCGTACAGAAGGCTAACATAAAAGCATTTAATATACACATTGTATATTAAAAAGGTTTGTTATAAGTTAATATTATCATATATTAAAGTCCTATGTATCGTTAGGCATAGGGTAGGTTAGGTGTTTGGGATCTATAGTACAAGTACGATTATTGGTATTTGTAGTACGTCGGTGAAGCATTTACAGCGTGGCGATTCGAACAGAAATCGTCAGCAAAGCACTGTTTCGAGAAATGTTTGACCCTCATCATTCGCGTGTAAACTATTTTCCTTTATAAACAAGGGGTTTGGAGGCTGGATTATGGAGCATTTAGCCATTCTTTATGGGGACGGGATGTGTTGGAACACATCAAGTCTCCACCACAACCATTTCTCAGGACTCGGTTTCATGAACCTCGTTCGTCAACACCAAAGACTCTTTGCTTCCACCTGATTCTCGTCCTCATAACAAAGCAAATGCTCGTTGTTAACGGCTGCATTAACGAGAGCAAATGCTCGTTAATCCAGCCGCCAAACCCGGTTTATGAATGAAAAGAGCTCACACACGACTCACACACTTGATGACTTTCGAACATTCCTCGAACAGTGCTTCACTGACGAGCTCTGTTCGAATCACAACGCTGATAATGCTTCACCCACGTACATCAAATACAACTAATCACCAACAGGACCTAAAAACCTAACCTAACTTGCACCTAAATATTCACCGTATACCAATACGTAATAATTTCATTTATATTTGAGAAAACCACTATTTTGAACGGGCACTATTGATGATAGCGTCTTTCGGGTCGGCTGTTGCTGGACAAGCCTAGCCCGAGGGACAGTGGTTCATAGCGAGCAATGACCTTTTAATCCTGTCATTGTCAACACCGCCTCCCCCCACCCCCTGTCTTTCAGCCCCTTCCCTCCTCCGCCCCTTTTAATAACCACCGCGTCATTGGGATAAACGTAAAATAAAATTAAGAAACTTTTACCTTTTGTGCAATTCACGTACGTTTAGTAAAAAAAATGTATTTTTATCACGTCACGAGTGATTGGTGGACAGTACTGTATAGACGGGCGGCGTCAGTTTACTCTCCCGGATCTGAGTCCTTTTGGGCCCGTCACGCTGTCCCTGGTGGACCGTCACGGTGTTCCTGGTGGACCGTCACGCTGTCCCTGGTGGACCGTCACGGTGTCCCTGGTGGACCGTCACGGTGTTCCTGGTGGACCGTCACGCTGTCCCTGGTGGACCGTCACGCTGTCCCTGGTGGACCGTCACGCTGTCCCTGGTGGACCGTCACGGTGTTCCTGGTGGACCGTCACGCTGTCCCTGGTGGACCGTCACGGTGTTCCTGGTGGACCGTCACGCTGTCCCTGGTGGACCGTCACGGTGTTCCTGGTGGACCGTCACGCTGTCCCTGGTGGACCGTCACGGTGTTCCTGGTGGACCGTCACGCTGTCCCTGGTGGACCGTCACGGTGCTCCTGGTGGACCGTCACGCTGTCCCTGGTGGACCGTCACGGTGTTCCTGGTGGACCGTCACGCTGTCCCTGGTGGACCGTCACGGTGTTCCTGGTGGACCGTCACGCTGTCCCTGGTGGACCGTCACGGTGTTCCTGGTGGACCGTCACGCTGTCCCTGGTGGACCGTCACGGTGTTCCTGGTGGACCGTCACGCTGTCCCTGGTGGACCGTCACGGTGTTCCTGGTGGACCGTCACGCTGTCCCTGGTGGACCGTCACGGTGTTCCTGGTGCACCGTCACGCTGTCCCTGGTGGACCGTCACGGTGTTCCTGGTGGACCGTCACGCTGTCCCTGGTGGACCGTCACGCTGTCCCTGGTGGACCGTCACGCTGTCCCTGGTGGACCGTCACGGTGTTCCTGGTGGACCGTCACGGTGTTCCTGGTGGACCGTCACGCTGTCCCTGGTGGACCGTCACGCTGTCCCTGGTGGACCGTCACGCTGTCCCTGGTGGACCGTCACGCTGTCCCTGGTGGACCGTCACGCTGCCCATGCTGGACCGTCACTCATCCTGACTCATACTCTCATACCGCTCATACTCATCCTGTGAGCGGTAGTTTATTGTGCACCTCATACTCATCCTGTGAGCGGTAGTTTACTGAACTGTGCACCACATCCTCAAAATAGTGCGGTAGGGCAAAAGGATTATAGCTGGAAAAAAGTCTTAATCAGACCTCGGTGCATGTTTGATATTACTAATTCAGAGCGAAGCGCTGCCTAGTCTAGCTCAACACCAGAAATGAATACTTATTCAGTCGAACTAGTCGAGGTATAAGCTCACGTGGTCCCGCCCAGCAAGGCTTTGAACCGACTGTTTAAAGTACTAGAAAGCAATGTCTGTGCATTCACCAAATGAAATGTGAAAAAACCGATTTCTTTGCGAGAAAAAATACTAAAACGCGCGTTTCATAAGGCCATTGTTTTATATCAATTCCTCAGATATTGGCGAGCCAAGGTCTCTAACCACAACAGGTCTGGAGTTTTTATCGGAGGGCACGACATGATGTTCGTTCCGACACGACGTTCGTTCCAAACAGCCCGTGCTACTTGCAAATTATAGATCCTTCATTGTCCCAAGTTTGCGTCCTGAAGAGGTGCATTGTTAGGTACGAAATTAATTACATAAGGCGATATATATGCACGATATTCCACACTGATGTTTTGACCAGTGGGCGAGAGCGTCATCGCTAGCACTGTTCACCGCTGTGGCGCGGCGGTCCACGGCGGCTCGTTATGCTGTCTGTGTACTGCAGCACAGCGCAATGATGCACGGCCCCTCCTGGTGCGGTTCCAGGAGAGTTGCTTCCAGGGGGTGTAGTCTTTGTCGTGTATTTCTGGTTACCAATTTTTGGTTACCTGTTCTTGGTTGCGTATTCCTGGCTACATAATCGTTGTTGCATTTTCTTGGTTGCATATTCTTGGTTGCATATTCTTGGTTGCATATTCTTGGTTGCGTATTTCTGGTTGCGTATTTCTGGTTGCGTATTCCTGGTTGTAGCTGCCTGCTAGTCGGGGTGGGACTCGTATCACACAAAAAAGGAGAGAGAGAAAAAAGCAGAATATCTCGTTTTTGTGTTTGTTTTTGTAACTCAATATCTGCCAGATGTACGTGTGTTTGTTCCTTTCTCTGTCACCACATCGCTTCCCAATGTCCAGAAGACCAGCCCCGCCTGTCAACTAAACTGTCGCATACGTCATCTTGACTGTCTCGTTTGTATATTAGTGTCGCACCTGTCAGCCTGACTGCCACACTCGTTACACAGACTGTTGACCAGACCACACACTAGAAGGTGAAGGGACGACGACGTTTCGGTCCGTCCTGGATCATTCTCAAGTAGATAGTGTGTGGTCTGGTCAACATACTTCAGCCACGTTATTGTGACTTATCGTCTACACAGACTGTCTTTGGAGTAAACATTCTCGCAAAATGTTTATTCCAACTCAACTCGACTGTCTCGAGTGATAAGGTGGGAAAAATGCGTTGAACATGAAAATAAAACCTCTGGTCGCACTCTCCTCCAGACAGGATGTCACGAGACAGGTTACATAAATATTTTTAAGATATCAGACATAAGAATGTTTAATCCCTGGTTATTTGTTCATCTTCAGTGACGCAATAACATGTACAGGCTTTAAAGAGCTGATATCAGGAACTGCTTCATATTCCAGACAATACCAGGAGCTGCTGCTTATTCCAGACACTACCAAGAACTCCCTGGACAAGTCTCGCTCCCTCCCTCTTAACCCCAAGTTATGGGGCACAAGGTTGAATATAGTTGAGGTATAAAATACCTGTGAACTTGATACTCTGTCCACGAGTAGCCACCTACTGCTGCCCCTCATTCTTTTCACCATTTGCCTCCCCTACTGGGTACGATTTAAACATGTGCGACCTGATCTGATCTGACAACACTCCTTCCCATGATTTCGATCAAATGTGTTCAGAAAACGTACAAGTCTGTCTGTTATGTGTACTCCACGTAGGAAATGATCTTCAGAGAGGAAGGGCCGACCACGAACCGTCCACGCAAGCAGACCTTCACTGCTTAGTATTGACTTCCAGAGAGTGTCAGCTGGATGACTGTGGCGGCCAACGGTGTACTGTTAAACAATTTCAGATCACAAGTTATAAAACTGTTATTAATTATATCTTTTTCAATATAATATAGCAATTATTCGTAATTTATAATCAAAGTCTTCCCGTTCACCAGTTTGCTCTCGAGTAGACTGGGATAGTATTTGTCCGGTTTCCTGCCTGTTGGCTTTGGGTGAGTTGTCTTGTCTTTCAGTTGGCTCTGGACGAGGTGGTGTTGGTGACGGGTAGATGGTGGTTCCCTGACCTGTGGTCGTCTCCAGTGTCAGTACCCACGTACCCAGTATACCAAGTGGTATTCACCTAGTTGTATTCATCTAGCTGTGCCTGCGGGGGTTGAGCTCTGCTCTTTCAATCCGCCTCTCAACTGTCAATCAGTCAACTGTTACTAACTACTAACGTTTTTTTCCCTCACACACAGGAAGCAGCCCGTAACAGTTGTCTAACTCCCAGGTACCTATTTACTGTTCCTCCCATATACCTGCTGTTCCTCCCACATACCTGCTGTTCCTCCCACATACCACTTGTTACTTTGGCTTTCCTCCCACACGACACACGATAACCGTTACTTTGGTCGTCTAGAGCCACAACCGGTTGCACTGTACAGTGATGTGAGGCAGTGTGGATGTACTTGAGAGACATTGGTTACAAAAGTGTGTTATTAGTTATAAGTTTACGAGATGTTTGGAGGGTTGGAGTGACTGTGTTTTGTTTGGCAAAACAAAATACTTGCCTCGTCGTAGAGGGATCCTTATGGAGGGGAGTTGTGTAGGTTATTATTGGGTATGTATTGTGTTGATCTTGTTAACCATACACACGGCAGCCATGCCTCTGTGTAGGAGAGTCTGGATTAAGACATCGGGTCGGCTGGATTAGCTTCAGTTCTCACGAGGCGTGTGGAACTGTCGTGTAATTTAACCGATAACTTCAGAGTATTAATGTCAGTGGACAAGAATGCAAACGTAGTGGCGAGTGCTCTATAATGGGTATTATTTGCTTGTTGGTAAGTGTTAAGCATATCTGTGCACCTTGGTGATGCTCCACCCTCTACAGGCATCCACATGTCCTGCCCTAATATATTAATCAACTATGGCATTTTTTTTATCTTTTGTCATTTAAATATTACTAATAATATTAGTGTAATTCTTACATTATAATAATGGTCATTATGATATTTTAATCAGCATTATCTATATTATTCTTTAAGTCAGTTCGTAATGTTTTCAATGCAGCTGGCAATCCCCTTTAATCCCGATATGTATTTTTGTAGGTGAACTGGTGGCTGCTGGTGGCAGCGGCGGGGATGGTGGTGCCTGCGGGGGCTCAGGAGGTGCCCGGCCTCGCCAATATGGAGATTTTAAGAACGGTCCCGCTGATCCAAGCGTCCGGCACCGCCCGCGACCCGCCCTCTGCTCCACTGCATGCTCTGACGGACAGAGTTCCCCGGCGCTACGACGTGCTGTTTGACTACTCCAACGAGGAGGAAAACCACTTCGAGTACTACGATGAGAAGACCGACTACTCCGAGGAGGAAGGGCGCCTAGACTACTCCAAAGACTCCTCTGATGATGGCGCGCGTGATGGAGATGAGTTCGTGAAGGTGACCGCGACACTAGAGCGTCCTCAGACCTCGCTGAACACCGACGTTACAGACTATGCTATTTTTACCCTGGAGAGCATCAATAGCCCTGATGCCGACACAACAGAGGCAACAGCAGAAGTTTTCGGCCTCGGTGATTCTCTCGGCTTGGAAAACCTCATATCTGTCTCTCCCAGCATCCATAAAATAAAACCTTTATATTCAACAGAAAGGATGCCACAAGGTACAATAGAACGTGTGAAACAAGGAAGACCAAAGCGGGTGTCCCTGGGTGCAGGAGAGCGTATGCCCCTGGATACAGCAGAGAAGGTCCACCTGGGCTCAGAAAAAAAGGAATCCAAAGGCAGTGAAGACGCGGTAGTTCTGGGTACGGCAGAGAAGGCCCTCCAGGATACAGGTAGGAAGTTAATTCTGGGTACAACGGAGTCAGATCCCACACGGAGCAGAGAGCAGTCCACCTTGAACCTTAGGGCCTTCTCCTCGCCCCACGGCCCCCAGGGTGTGGCAGTGGTCGGGACAGTGCTTGACCCCCAACACCCTCTGACCAGCTCTTCTGCGGCGCGTCGCCAACTTCCCCACAACACCTTGGTCGGTAGGTATTATCAAACAGCATCAAATCCGATGCGAGCTTATATAAGACACAAATACTCAACAGCCAGTTATCCAATTTATATCTATCATTTGGGCAGTTATCCAACAAGTAACACTCTAAAATATAGTTACCCCTCTGGAATCTATCCCCTGATGTACTATCCTCCTGCAGATCCCAATGTTTACTACCGTGACGGTGAAGGCAGCACAAGAGATGGCCATACCATCGGGGAGGTTGTGATGAACTACCGCATGACCGACCTCGGTAAGCACCCAGCGCCTTCGCGCTACCACCCGCAGAACGCTAGAAGCTACTACCCGGCTGGAGACCTTCCCTCTAGAACCCCTCCCGAAGAAGCGCTTCCGTCACAACAGATGGACCCGAGGCAGGGACCAACTAACGCAAGGGCAACACTCCCCAAGGCGACCCATTCTGGCGTAGAGTCCTCCAGTGCCTCCCCTGGGACTCGCTCTTCGGCTAGAGGCTCTCACAATTCCACACATGCTTCTACGATTAAAAAAGGTGATTCCAACGATGCTCCTTCCTTAAGAAGCGTCCTTAGAATAGTAGAAACGAGGAATCGTGACGAGGTTATGTATTATACCGGCCTGCAGAGAGAGATTGAAAAATCAGATGTGTTGGTAGATGCCATCCGGAACGTCAGGACACGGGAAGGAAAGATGGTCAAGAGTTTTAAAAGAAAACTATCTACTACCACTGTTTCACCAGTTCCAGACATCGAGGAGGTCAGGAACCTGTTTGGTAGCCATCCCCTGTATGACAAGCTACCGCGAGAGACGTCTCTAAAGTACAAGCTGCCGCAAGAGACTTCCCTGAGGAACAAGCCAGGGCCGATACCTCTTCAAGAGAAATATGATGACGAGGAAGACGAGTACGAGAACCTGTACCTGCCCGTCCGCGCAAAGTCGCTGGAACTGGAGAAGATCAACGAGGTAAAGAGACACTTCAGTACCCTCGTACCTAAAACGCTGTACAGAATCCGCCCCTTTTCGATACGCCCTACAGGCAGTCCTAAAATCACCACCTACAAGCCACGGTATGTACCTAGTTTTTATACAACCACAAAATCTGTGACATATGCATCAAAATCCCCGTCGATGTCGTCGTATGGCAAAAATCATCGCACACCAAAGGCTACAAGTTTATCTCCTCCTAGGACATCCAAGCTTGTGTCCTCGGCACACACACAGAACAAAAGACGACCCTCTACTCACTTACTTCAAGGAAATTATGAAAGTCACATGCATTCTAGCTCTAGGAATCGTAGACCTATTGGTTCTAGATCCCACGACCACCATCGCAACGATAACCAGGATAATTATAGTCCTAGAAGTCAAAGACAAAAAGTCTTTAAAAATCAAAGTCTATCCATCTATGGTCCTCGCAATCATAACAACAAACTCTGGGATCCCAAAGATCATGAGCCTTCCAGCTTACAGAGCGAGCGGCCTCATAGTGTGGGGGATCTCGGCTCTCCAAGCACGAGAGGCTACAACACTCCCATCCCTGTGATTAAACCACATCTAAAACACCATAGTCGACCTTTTTCTACATCCCATGGCACTTCAGGCGATGGGAGTTCTCCAAGCCGAAAGCAGGCCAATTCTAAATACCCTACTAGTAGCCTGTATGAGGAAGCCGACCTGCGGCCCGACCCGGAAGAGGGCGCGAGGAGAAAAAAAGGGCCCGACATGGAAGAGGGCGCGAGGAGAAAGAAAGGGCCCGACATGGAAGCTATACTTGACGCTGGTGTCAGCTTCCCGAGGTTCGGTTACAACATCGACTCATTTTTCACGCGCTTCCCAGGCTTTGGATTTTTTGACTACGACCCTGACAAAAATGTTCCGGCATGATCGTTGCTTATTTATGTATTTATGTATTTATTTATTTATTTATTTCGTGAGATTCAAATGTATTTTTTGTATGCTGTTACATATTGGTTTTGTTTTTCTGTTGTGTGTTACTCATATCTGTTAGTTTATCTTAATAAGGCATCAAATTGTATTTAGTATCATGATGACACTTGTCATAGCTGTGAATAAATGCCAAAAAATAAGATAACTTTATTGAATAACACCTAAATCAGAATGATTATTTCGTAAGATTGCCGAGAAATATGTGAAGATTAACTAGTAAGGGAGAAGCCAATGTTATAAAAATGATTGTTAGTCTTGAACTCTTTCTTAGTGATACCAGTTGCCTACACTAAGGAGTCAGCTAAGAGGATCGACATATTTGGAGGACTTACTGCTCATGTATATAAAGAGGACGCTCAGTACCAAGGGAAGGGTGCGGGTGTGTTGTCTGGGAGCAGGCATGGAAGATATTAGCAGTAGGTTGACCAGACCACACACTAGAAGTTGAAGGGACGACGACGTTTCGGTCCGTCCTGGACCATTCTCAAGTCGATTGTGACAATCGACTTGAGAATGGTCCAGGACGGACCGAAACGTCGTCGTCCCTTCAACTTCTAGTGTGTGGTCTGGTCAACATACTTCAGCCACGTTATTGTGACTCATCGCCTGCATATTAGCAGTAGCTTGGACAAAAAAATCACACTCCAAACTATAAAATGTTTTATGAATTTAAGGGTGAAATTTGGAAAATAGAAAGTTCGTGCAAAAGGGGAATGAATGTCATGAACGACTCCTCTGGACGCCGTTAATATATGCAATAAGAACATAAGAATCAAGGAAACCGCAGAAGGCATATTGGCCCATACTTGACAGCTCCTACTTATATATGAATGAGTTTGGGTGAATATTTGTCTAACCAACGCTTGAAACAATCAAGGATTTATATAATTCCTATAATAATGATTTATGATAATTATATTCCTATTATATTACGTGGTAATTGGTTCCACAAATCGATAGCCCTGTTACCGAACCAGCATTTACCCAATTCTTTTCCTAAATCTTAACTTAATGGAAAATTGACTTTAAGGGAAATAATACTGAGTGGTAAAGATGCCTGTATTTTATCGATAGCAGAGGAGCATTAAATTGTAAAACACGTGTATATTGACTTATTGAGGACGTGCATAAAGAGAACATTAAATAAATAAATAAAATAAAATAAAATAAAATAAAAATGGCCTTAAAGGAAGATTTTTTTGTGGATCCCTTCACATGTGGGAATACTGTTAAATGAGGCAACTGATGAAATAGCGAGGAGAGTCACGGACCAACCTCTTGTCGACGTAATGTCAAATAACTTTGAAACAAATTAAAACAAACATTAAATTGGTCCAAGAGGATATAGGAAAAAGTCAAGAGACCTATAATGGTGAACACACTAACACTGGCTAATGGTGTAACACTAAGGCCTTACGCTCAAATATTCACCAATCACGGACCCATCCTTCACATATGGTACAACATCGACTCATTTTTCACGCGCTTCCCAGGCTTTGGATTTTTTGACTACGACCCTGACAAAAATGTTCCGGTATGATCGTTGCGGTATGATTTATGTATTTATTTATTTATTTCGTGAGATTCAAATGTATTTTTTGTATGCTGTCTACATGGAAGGCTTCAGCGTGCATGAGATTAAAAATATTGTATAATATTACTGGGAATACGGTGCTGATGTCAGTGAAAAAGATAAGAACATAAGAATCAAGGAAATTGTAGAAGGAATATTCCTGATATTTGTAGTATGTTTGCGGCATATCACGTGATTTGTTTAGTATGCCGCACGTTCACACCTTAGATCACTATGTACTGGAGTAGAAATTTGTCGATAAATATGGAAATACAGAAATTTGAAGGTACCAAATAAAATTGTATGGATGTGTGATAATGGTATGGCAGAGACAATTCTGAGGAGGTTCTAACACTTAAACCCGAGACTGTAATACTAAAAATCTTTTAATCTTTGTTGTAATCTGTACTGTAATAAATAATTTATTAATGTAATTGCAATGGGAAATATGATTATAATTTGTGTACTATATTGTAAACCCCTTCAGGGACCTGTAATAGATGATGATAGAATTAGTCTAAGCTGCTCTAACCTTTTAGACAGCGTTTTATTATCTCAATAGATTTGGCTGTGAATCATACGTCTGGCTGCAAGCAGCCACATCAAACAGCGTGGTTGACCAGACCAACAACCTGGAGACCTGGGGATATTCGTAAAGCAGTTACGCAAGCACTTATGAACCTGTAAATTTCTCAATCTTTGGAGGCTTTGTTTACAACTATTAAACAGTTAATGAGCTCCGAAGCACCAGGAGGCTGTTTATAACAATAACAAATTTGCGAAGTTTTCATGCTTGTAAACTGTTTAATAAATGTAACCAAAGGCGTCAAAAATTGAGGAAAGGTGTACACGTTCGTAAGTACTTGCGTAACTGCTTCGTGAATCTGGCCCCCTGGTCGGAGACCGGGCCGCGGGGACGTTGATCCTTGGAATCAAAGACAAGTAAACACTTACTTGAACTTGAATCCGCCACTAATCGTTCTTACACAACTGATTAAAGGCCATAAACCCAAACAAATTATAAGTTCTAAAGTTAGCCGGCAACCTGTTAGGTGGCGCGAGTGGGCGAGTGAGACGTACTTAAGGGCTCGTCAAGGAGGTTGTGGCCAGTCACTTGTTGCTCGGCGCTCGTGGTGGAACGTCTTGAGAGCCTTGTTATTCCAGTGAGTTGTCATCCGAGTCGTTCTTGTTGTATATATATTATTTACAAGTGAAGATCGTACTCATTTTGGTAGTTAGTGCGCTTAAGAAACACTGGCAACACAAATCTGTCGTGTGTCACATGGGAGTCCCGCCTCCCCCCCCCCTCTCTCTCTCTCTCTCTCTCTCTCTCTCTCCCAGGTATTGATTCCACATCTCCTGATCTTGTCCCAGTGTCCCGCTCCCTTTCATGCTAGGCACACGCACTCCTTCCCACTTATTTCCATAACTTTATTTTTTTGTTCTACACATTTTTACTAAAGATTCCCCCTCCCATCTACCCAACAAACGCGGACCTCATTCCACCTTTTTCTCTTCCCGTTTAATTTCGTTTACCATAATTTGCTTTGCTTGTTACATTCCACAATATCTTCAGCGAGACACTATAATTTCTTGGCACATTTCTGTACAGTCCATCACCACCATGTCTATCGTGAACGGAGTGGCCGTGGCGGCGGGCTCCAGCTCGCCTCAGTCACCACGAAACAAGTGCCAGTGTGGAGAGTCTACGACCAGCCCGACCTCCTCCCTCCACACTCAAGAATCCTTCGAGGAGAGGAAGGCCCGGCTCCTGCACATGGCCAGGGACAGAAGGTCGTCGTCGTCAGCAGGTCGGCAAAAGTTATTATTTATGTCCACGTTGTAACAATTATTTGCCGTCAGGTAATAGATAAAATTTACAAAGGTTACTATTGTGTGGGTATCTTTGTCCTTTGCAGTTAGTTTTTATCGATACTCGATAAGGAAAGATAAGCGGATGCATAGTTCACAAGATTTACAAAATTACATCTTTTTATATATAGGAAATTGTTTATGGAATACTTATATTTACTCAAATTGCCAAGAAGCTTTACAGCATTAATAGGAGTAGCGACCATAAGTAAAGAGGGTCCTCACAGGTGCTAGGTACACCAGGGGAATCTTTCCGGGGTTTTGTCTCTTATTTTACACTTACTTTCATGCTATGCCTAATCTAACTTCTATATTATTAATTGCATTGTCTGTTTCTATAACGTTCATCGTTGTCAACATTAACCATTACAAATCTAGAATATTCTTTTTGGTGATCTCTGACAAACTGTCTGGAAACAATTCTATTGCTTTTAGGCAGTCGCCTGTTTTTTAATGTCCAATCAATTCTTATGTTAAAATCTCCAATGATGCACATTACTGGATCCTGATATCTTTTATTGATATCGTCCCTGATACGTTTAAGGCCCAATTTCGTTTCGACACTTGACAATTATTCCCTATCAGAAGCTTTTCGGTTCCCCTCGCGCACAGAAACAATGAATGTCCGATTTAATAGATGTTTTAGTAGCTTGTATTTGCTTGTACGAAGTACCCCAGAGTTCCAATAGGTTAGTAATTTGTTTAAAACTAAAATCTACCACCCTAGGTTATTTGGGCTATTATTCTATGATTATAAAAAAAACTATTTTGCTAACAGCAAAATAGTAAAGGCAGAACCATGGCCTGGTAGGGCAAGGCACAGCGGGAGGGCTTCCTGTAACGGCCCCCGTGCCAGAGGGCCGCAGGCGTGGCTGTACTGGATCGATGGTCAAGGGCAGCTCCACACAGATGTTGGCGAGGACGTGGTAAGGGTGAGGGACGGATGCAGACTTGGCGAGAGGTGTGTAGGGAGGGCTACTACCCAGGAGGTAAACGTCGAACCTTAATCTTATCTGCGCGGTGATGCATCAGCTCATTGACCCCATATAGCTTTATGTTGCTTTAGAATATAGTTTTAAATCGGGCGAGAGTGTGTGAGAAGTGCCACTGGGAAATAGTGGTGACCACACTAAACATCAGGAAATGAAAACTACGACGTTTCTGTTCGTCTTGAACCATTAGGAGCTATTGATAATGGTCCAGGAGGGACCAAAACTGTTAAACATGTGAATGGAGCATGTAAGAAAATTGGCAGACTAACAGACTTCGTTACAGCTCGAATAAGACTTGGCTACAGGTATCTCTGGCAGTTCGGCTTGTATAGGGATCTAGATGAAGCGCAAAGAGATAAATCTAAAAATGCTGTATGAAATGGCAAGCCATCTTATTACCAAGGATAAAATACCTGAAATCTTCGCACTGTATCCATATTTCGCTTCCAGTAGATAAATGACATATGCGATTAAGAAACGAGTAGTGTATTGTGAAGACTAATACTAACAAACGGCAACTCCCCTTTTTCCTCTGTAATATCTCCATTGCTCAAATAATTATGGATTAGCGGTAAGATCTACCATTAATATATAATGATTTACTGTAAATATATAGCCCTTGAAATAGAACATTAGCTGTAACTAGCTGACACTGTAATTATACAGTGTCAGCTAGTTACAGATAAGGTGTGAAGGATAGATGAAATTGTTAATGTTGTAATCTCCGTTGAGGTCTGATAAAGACCTTTTGTGCCCTCTGTAATCCTTTTTGCTCTACCGCTCACAGGATGAGTATGGGGTGCATAATAAACTTGCCGCCTCTGGCGGAAACAATCGATCAAAATAAAACATAGTTCCTTCGTTTTCTGATGTGTGGTTTAGTCATATCTTCAGCCACGTTATCATGACTCGTCGCGTGCATAGAAACTAGTGGGCTTAGCATGATGTTGCAAGGTCGGCTGGAAGCAGCAGACACAGCGTCTCAATCCAGGTTTAAGCGTTGCTCCAAACACCACAGCCAACAGAGTTAACCTTGCCTGTTTACAGTAAACTTATGGCCAGATACAGCACCTTCCCAATTTAAGTGAATAATGTAGGGCAAATCTAGTGCTCATGTACGAAAGTTTGCTCAAGTAGTCTTATGTAAAAGTCATTGTCATCCGGGACGAGTTGTTGAATAAGATTGCCTCTGGGAATTACCAGAGAGTCCCTGTACAGGGCAGGGAGAGCGTCACGAGGCCGGGTATGCTTGCTTGTGTGAAATAGGAAAATTTAAACAATGAGGCTATGCAAGCCAGGCGGATCGATTCTCCGTCCTGCCTGCTTTTCTCCCCCCCCCCCTCCTTTCCAGTGAACACGCTAAGCAAACTACGTTGATTCGGCTTTGAGTGTTTTGCCCGTTGAGCTGTTGCTTACATAGGTTAAGAAAGTTAAGCAAGCAAATTCGGCTTGCTTAACCCTCCTTCACTCTTTTTGTTTTACCTTCTCTTTACTCTTCACATTTTTTCTTAACATTCCCTCTTCTTCCTCCTTCACCCGTTGAAGTTTACAGACTGGCTGGACCGGTCTTGAGTATATGCGAGACTCGTGTACTCGCCTAAATGTACTAGCTCCTGAGCCCCGCCTTGGCAGTGCCTCGTACTGAACAGGTTCTCTTTATCAACCTTATCAATTGATAGTGTTATTTTGTCCCCACGTTACACAAACTTCCCGGTTTGGTGCCTTTTTTTTATAATTACTTGCCTGTCCCCACGTTTCCGTCTCTTGAAGTGTAGGTAGGCTTGAAGCGGGGTGGGATGGGGGTTCTAACGCCTGGGGTCAGCACACACTGGACCATAGGAACATGTGTAGTGTATTACCCGTATTTAGTGAGCTTTACTTTGGTTTGAACACAAGGTGTCGGGACTCTTGGTTCCACCTTGACGACGAGCGGACGTCTGGACACCTGCTCCGTCTGGGGCCGCATGAACACGCGACGCGACTTTGCCCCTTGGGTCTCGATACTGTCGTTGGACATTTCTATTCAACTGTCCGGAGTGTTATAACGCCTTGCCACCTATCGCCGGGGGTCATAAGTATAAGAGATTTTCAACGTTTTCTGGTTGCTGTTTCTGGCTGGGAGACCGGCATCCGCTTGGTCGATTTGAGTCGAGGGTTGGAGAGTTTTGGATGGCTCCTGATGTGCCCTCAGGGCATGGTGGGCTGCTGGCTTTTGCTCTGCTGGAGGGACACTATGATTCCTTTGAGATTTCCCCATATGGGTAAGAGTTTAGGAAGGGTAAAGTTTCAGGGGCCCCGTGCTCCCGCAGCCCCTAAATCAGCAACATACACAAGCTGTCACTCTTAGATTCCCCACTACTAAAAAATGCGTCGCTAAATTCTATTACCATAACTCTTTCATCGGCTAAAAGCTTTTTCTATTTGGTGTGTATACCGTTACGCTGCTCTCGTGTTGGGTGCTGGCCGGCAGGTTGAGGGACGTTGTTGTCGCAGTGACTTGCAGACTTCCGTTCACCTCAAGGGCTCCTTCACCCACTCCTTGGGTACACCGGTAATATAACTCGTCTTGGGTACACCTTATCAATTTTTGCGAGACTTATTGTGTTTCTTGGAATCGGTTACTGTTAAACTTTTTTTTCTTAGAGTACGTCTCTTTGATCAACCAAACTAGCTGAAAGTTAAGATCTTCAGTTTGTTGGCTATATTATTTTAAACATCCACAGTGTGACGTTGACACCAGAAAGGTTCACCAGCATCGTAATAGAACTCAAAGTATAATCAAATAGTTTTAAAATCCAGTGATAATCTGTTACCAGAACATATGAGCTGAATAAATCTTTCAGATGTTAGTCTAAAATGTCTTGGTTAAATTATATTACTAATCTGTGAAACCTTTCTGACGTTTGATGATAGCAGAAGGGCATCATTAAAAACTAATTAACTTAAAAAAAAAAGACGTACAGGTTTAACAGACAACACAACCCAGTTAGGTCATAAAACCTGGAGAAAAGTATTACAGGCTAGACGATGTGTGTGTGTTTGTATTGCTGTTATGTGTCGTATGGTTATCACTGTGTGTACTGTCAATCGACTTTATAATGGTTCAGGACGGACCGAAACTTCTTTGTTTCTTCATCTTCTGGTTTGGTCATATCTTCAGCCACGTTATTGTGACTTATGGTCTGCATCTGTATATATATATATATATGTTCAAAGTTTAACCCCCACAGGTCACGAGAAGTGTCCTTTCCACTTCGACATGGAGCTGGACCACAAGCCGCCTACGAGAGAGGACATCCTTCCAGAGTTGGCCGACAGTTACCGCTGTCTTATCAAGAATCTTGGCGAAGACCCGGACAGAGAAGGTCTTCTCAAGACCCCCATGAGGGCAGCCAAAGCCATGCTTTACTTCACCAAGGGCTACGACCAGACCATCGAAGGTGAGCGAACTTAAAGATCACTAAGAGACTAGATTATAAGCATGCTTCAACACAGTTACCTTCCCTAAAATCTCGCACTACTAATACTGCAACACACCTGCAATATATGACTGACAATACTCTCCAACACGTCCAAATCCTAACCAACAACCAGTTGTTCGTGATCAGTTTTAGATTCAGCTACTCAGAACGAAATGGCCACGTAGCACGAGCTATAGTCAGCCAGCAATGCGTGATCAATAACAATTTCTACTTAGCCTCATCTGTTCACCTGTCCCTCACCATCCTCATCTCTCTCGGGCAGATGTAATGAACGGTGCGGTGTTCAACGAGGACCACGACGACCTGGTTATCGTGAAGGACATAGAAATGTTTTCCATCTGCGAGCATCACTTGGTGCCCTTCTGGGGGAAGGTGTCCGTCGGCTACCTCCCCAACAAGAAGGTCCTCGGCCTCTCTAAGGTGGCAAGGTAATACGAAGATATAAAACGTGTGAATGCAGTCACTATAATACAGTGTGTATAATGCATAATTTTGTACTTAAACAATACCAATCGTGAAATAATTGTAATAATAAGAGCAATGGTAATAATAATATAAAGTGCAGCTAATGGAACAGCTGTAACACAAGAACGCATTACCTCCCCGACCAGCTGGGTGAGCCCCGCGGGCCAGAGACCTTGTGGTGGCTGGTCACATCTTCTCTGGAATATTAAACTAGGCGCGCTTCTCGGTATTGTTGCCGCAAACGGCAAGTCCTTGACACATCACGTTAATGTAATCTCTGTGCCACAAGCCAGTATTTGTAAACATTACGAATGTTCGTGTGGTGCGTTTAGTATACAGCAGCGTTGTGCCCGGGGGGTTATAAGCTTGCGTTGCTACTTTATTAGTGCCAAGGCTGCTTATTATTACGAATGTTGGACAAAAGTCCGAGACATAACATTTGTATTCATGTAATGGTTACGAATGTTTTAATTTATTCTATTATATATTTTTCAGGATTGTAGAGATCTTCAGCCGCAGATTACAAGGTAAGTTTTTAAGTCTTGTCAAGGTTTAAGCGTTTCCGAACACCTACAGTATTTGCATTTTGATTTTTAAAATCTGAACTACCCATTGATTTTTGGGGGTAACTGTTTTCAGAACCCTTCTTATCAAATATATGAAAGTATTAAAGATCACCAAGAAGGTGGCAAGTGCTTTGACAACTTTATAGTGATGGTAACGGAGCACCTTCACTTCCAGTTCAGGAGAGGCTGACGAAGCAAATTGCCCTGGCGATAGTTGAAGCCATCCAGCCCACTGGAGTAGGCGTGATCATCGAGGGAGTGTGAGTACCGTGACTCAGTCTTGTAGTTAATTAACCTGTAGCCGGTTCAGTTCTGGTATAGAAGCTTCTCATATGGGTTCTTTCCTTTCTGTTAATATTTGTCGCAGTTTCCCCATCCCTTCCTCTTCCGGTCTTCCACTGTGGATTATATTTGCTTTATTTGATGCCTTTTTTCCATGATTAAATTGTTCTAGTTTCACATTTCTCTTATACATACAACAGTAAATATAATTATGTTCATTTTAACTAAAGTCTGACATGTCTGCTTAATGTCAGAGACTTTAAAGTTGATGTAGTGATTCTTAACAACCAGGTTGTCTTGTACGCTACGTATAAAGTACTTTGCTTTGAGAAGCAAAGTACTTTCAAATATCCACATTTTCTATGCCTCTGGAGGATAGGTTAGGTGGGTGGCTAGAATTCGCTCGCCCTAAATGGTTAGGTTAGAGCGTTGTATTTTATAAGTTGTGGTAATTCAGTAGACCGGGTTGCTCTGTGATGGTCTTATTATCAACATGTCTTAACCTTCAGTGACACGAGACTAACGGTGACACCTCTCTCTCTCTCTCTCTCTCGTACAGCCACATGTGCATGGTGATGCGGGGAGTGCAGAAGATCAACTCCAAGACCACCACCTCCACGATGCTTGGGGTCTTCAGAGACGACCCCAAGACCAGGGAGGAGTTTCTCACTCTAGTCAAATAAAGACTTTCTTCACTTCGCCAACGATAAAGCGACAGATCAAACGAGACAACGTGGCAAGGGAGAGACCAACTTGACATTTATGTTTTGACACTGCAAAACAGAGATCAACGAAGAATATTTGATTGCCACTAACGAGGATCTTCGTTTCACATGTTTTTATAATTTTATATTTTTTTACCTCGATTGGTAGTTTTATATTATACGGTTTTGGGATAGAAAATTATATAGTATGCTTTTTAAAAATTAAAAAAAACCTTATCAATCTTAAGTAGATATTTTAAATATTAAGTCTTAAGTTTTTTACGCATATTCTAACATCTCGATAACTTTAACTGTAAATGTATTTGTGGAAACAAATATTTTAAATCATAATTTGAGCTACGTAAAGATTTAACAAATCATAGTTATATTAATGAACTGTTAAATGGCTTCGTTGGTCATAAAATTAATTCCTCGCGAAACGTTTTTTGTTTCATTTCGGTAGAAAGTTTCAGTGATCATTGTTGTCACTGTTAATTTAATGCCAAAGAAGTGAGGGTGAATCTTCTCCACTTGTTCCTCAATCTAGGAACGGTGTTTATTCCATTTATTTTTATATTTAAATATATAGATCATATCGGTATCTTCACCATGGAAAAAGTACCTAAAAGTGGTTCGTCCCAAATCATAGCAACGAGTGGTGTGGTACCGCAAAGTGCCAAATCAAAGTACCAAGACAACCTGAATAACTAGTGTGTTTCTTGGCTGTGGATTTCCAGTGCTTCCCCCACGGCCGGTCACACCCTTAACATCTGTTGACGCCGGTGTTTAGCAGGTGAGCAGCCACAGGACGCCCCGCCCCGTGCTTCCCTGGGGACATTGTCGCTTCTCATCTCCTAAAACATCTGGCGTTTGCCAGAATTCACTTTAGTCTTGGTTCTTGATACGTATATTAAATACACGTGAGAAGAAGTCTCACCGTAATATATTTTGTATGTATTTTATTAAATACAGGTTCGTTAAGGTTATGATCAGTATTAAAGAGAACTGTTTGCTTCCCGTTTCTCTACGAAACACGAACAAAGTACAATTACGCTTCTCATCTACATGCATAAAGTCTTTCTGTGGTGTTGTATAGGCTGGCTCTCCTTGCCTGCAGCCGTCTCCTCTCCTCCTCTCGGGGATGAGCTCGGAGGCTGGCTCAAGGAGAGCGAGTCTACACTCGCCGCATTAGCAACTGACGGGTTGTCGGTTGTTGAAGGTGCCTATACAGGTGTAGACAACACTGTCTACGCTGACAATTGAATTTTAAGTGTTTACACGTTGTATTACGCTTTTATTAGTAACCATAAGTACATGGACCTGGGATGCTTTGGCAGACTTGATTATTGAAATAAATGTTTATATGAAAATGTGTATTATTATACCCAACTTCTATCCTATCATTTAAAATCATTTAACGTTCGTTCATTCTTATTAGTTACAATCGTTTTCTTCAAAATTTACAACTGGAACCTGTTATAGTTTTGCCATAATACTGAACCGGCATTGATTAATGTGCTCGTAATATTTTACTTCGGTCAGTTTTCAAATAACATTCTCATGAGACGCTTATCCATGTTGAGACGTGACGCACTTTCATTAAATGTTCATGAACCCGTCCCCATCTTTGCCTAACATGACAGTTACATTAACAACAAATACCAAATGTCAATGTTATTACCAATAATTAGCGACTGAATACACTAAATACACAAATAGCGAGAAAGAACGTACTTAGCTGGTAGAGACAGGGAAGGTCACACCACCAACGTGGCAGGTCTCTAGGTCTCTAAGGTGAGGTGGAGAATGAGGTTCGGTGACTGGTCGCACCCTACTATATCGGCTTTCCTATAATTGGGTGAAATTACGGGCTCCCCATAGCCCGTGCTACATGGACACTTCGTTCTGAGTAGCTAAATCTGAAACAACATTGGGTGAGTGAGGAGGGGGAACAAGTGTTGTTACCGATTGTTTAGCTGCTCGATACCTGTTTTAGTGGCCAGACCAGACTGTACGTTAGTTCATCCTTAGAGCTTATCTTAACTTGCATTTGTTTGAATATTATTGTTAAAAATACGGATTAAACTATCAAAGGAAGGGGTCATCACTAGATTCACCACAACGAGTATAAAAGATTCACACCTTATCCTTCCTATATTAGCAACTTAACAAAATTCAGTGTACATTTTTTTCTATAAATAAATTCAACACTTCTATCAGATTAGAGACGGACATTAGTGTAGAAGGAGGTGAAGCGGTGTACAGGAGGCGAAGTCCTTTTGAAGTGGCAGCAGGGCCTTGAAGAGCGGCCGTTCGGCTGTAGACTCTTCCAGTACTGGTATCCATGCGTGCCCCTGGACAAGGGAGAAAACATTAGTATTTGGAAGCCTTAAAATGTGCACCTTGAAGGTAACTCTGAAGATGATTGATGTGGTTCTCTAAGAGAGCAGTAAACACCATTAATTAAGAGTAAACTGTGAGACCTAAGAGTACTTTGTAGGTTACACAGACTTTAACATAACTAATATTTGTAACAACAAAAGGAATAGCATTAAAAACATGCAACATAACAGGTTTTTATTGTGATAAAGATAACAATAAACAGATGAATATCACGCTTACAGAATTAGTGGAAACTAATACTGATCGAATTTTCTTCCGCTAATTATATGGGGAGTTTAAACACGTTATAAACGTTTATGTTCTTACTTTTTTCAAGTCTTCAGTCTGGTAATTTGACTTACCACAGAGCCGGGCGGGACAGAGTGAGCAACACAGAGCGAGAGGACAAGGGGACAGTTTTCCACATCGTGGCTAAGTGGTACAGCTGTCTCGCCCGTCCAGCAGCCCCCCACCAGCTTCGCCCCGTCAACATACACTCCCTGAAAAAAAGTGACTGAGTGAATAAACACAGAGGCGAGAGGAATGCAGGTTAACACGTTTCAAGAATAGATTGGACAGGTCTAAATAGACTTGGACTCAAATCAGAATCTGCCTTGTATAACATATAACGGGAGGCATAGATCCCTATTATTGGAGCTCCAGGCGCCACAAGGTGTACCTGGGGAGGTCGTTCGCTGGGCTTGACCGTGGCAGTGGTGGCATAGACCAGGGTGCCGTGGAGGAACCAGTGGGCACGGAGACATACTGCCTGGCGGAGCCGAGTCAGCCACCAGCCTGGTGACGCCAGGAGGCCGAGACGCACCCTTACCGGCGGACTCTCGCTTCTGGCCTGTTGTTCAATATATGGGAATTACTTGTCTGAACGAAGCCTATTAAGAGAATTGTCTCACTAATAAAATATAATGAATTATTATGTACCTTTCAACTAAACTCGTTATGAGAGCTTGGTGAATAATTCAGCTTAGCCTAGAGAGGGAAGCGGTTTATTCCCTAGAGAGGGAGAAGTAAAGTTATTAGGGAAGTAAACCGCTTCCCTCTCTAGAGAAGCGGTTTACTTCCCTAGAGAGGGAAGCGGAAGGGGAAATGTTGTCCCCTCACAAGGGGACAACATACCCAAGCAGACGACTCACAAGGGGACAACATACCCAAGCAGACGACTCACAAGGGGATGACGATAACATACCCAAGTGCACAAGTGCTCATATCTCTCGCCCCATTCCACTGCCAGCCGTTTGAGCGCCGTGATCACTGCCTTCATCAGCCCCACGCTCATCTTGTTGTCCCTGGCAGCTGCTCGAGCGTGGTGACCACAGTGAGGCACGGAGGGCAGGTCACCGTCAGGGTGCAGGAGGAATCTGTGCACAAGGTCCAGTAACATCAAGAGAGCCTGTGCCGGCCGAATTGTGCCATCCATCACTGCCTGCAAATATAAAAGCTGATCTTACGTGTGTTTACATCCGGTATCACACAAGTAATATCAACACATTTGTAGTCGACACAGGACATAGAGCGTGCTTCAACTTAAAAAAAAAAAAAAGATTCTACTGCACAATGACACCGTAATTGAAATTTAAATTGAAATTGAATACACATGTGAGAGTAAAAATGCTGAAATATATCAGCACCTTATGTAAAGCCCGTCTGCATCCTCTAAAAGCACTGGCTTTTTCTGACACCGTAATGATCTGCAGATCTGGGCAGGAAACTGGTTAATGAACTGCAATGTTTACATTTTGTCAACTCCAGAGTTTGCCGAAGACTTGAGCTACTTCGTATGAGCCAATAGGTCTCCTGCTGTTGCCTTAATTCTTATGTTCTTGTATAGTTTCAATAATACAGAACATAGTAAACATGCCCATAATGTATAATATACTGTATATGACAGTCTACATCCAATATATGATATTCTGTGTTCGGTTTACAGTATGTTATATAATGTATTGATTAATATATGACATTCTGAATATTTTATATAGTATGTTATTAAATATAGAGTATTAGATAAGGGAAGAGGGGGAGAAAGATGAAGGGAGAGGGAGAGAGAGAGAGAGAGAGAGAGAGAGAGAGAGAGAGTGAGTGAGAGTGTTGGGGCAGTAAAAGAGAAAGGGAAAGGGGAAGACAGAGTTTCGGGTGCTTACAAATTTAACAATTAAATCTTGCAAAAACAGTGAAAAACACCGAGGAAGCCGCCAGCCTCACCCTCCTGAAAATATAGTACTTACAGTGACTATTTGGTCGAAAGCCAAATATGTAGTGATGGACCACAACAAGTTAACGTTTTTGTACCAGCCATCAGTGTATATATAATTACCTCATTTAAGAATAACATTGAGAACAGAAGCAAACAAACCACAATTCGCATAATCCCGTATACATCGTGCTTTCAGATAAAAAAAAAGTACCTTTTTAATGAGGTTTAGCCTACTGTGCGCCGTCTGGTGCATGGTGTCCCAAATGAGAGCCTCGTGTAGCCAGGCTTGAGTCTCAAGGTCAGCCTCCCGGGGGACCTGTCCAGCTGCCTGTCTCACCCCGCCTACCAGGATACTCTGGAGCTGGCCGGTGACGTCTAGCACTCTCTGCGCCCCCACATGCACTGTCAACATTATAATCAATAATTATCTTGTGCATAGGTATGGATAAGTTCGTATAAAACTTGTAATAAAAAGATTTAACATTTAAAAAAAATATCTTTTTCAACTATCTGTTCAGTTTTGACCATAAAGTGTGGTATATTGTCTGGTATATAGTTCTTGGACAACGACTGAACTAAACATGGAACCTAGTATGATAGGACTTACAAATGTATAAATAATTTACTGAAAATATCTAATAAAAACATATTTTATAAGTGATTTAACATATTTGCTACTTCTGCAATAGTTGCGTAAATATAATTTAGCATTTTTTTGCAAATTTTACTAAATTTTAATCAAACGTTCCTGGTCAGCTTTATAGAAATGCTATTCAGTGTTAATTAAAAGTTCCGGAGTGACAAGTGTGTTAATCAACGCAACACTCCCCAATATTGTTAATCTTTTATGCAACAACCCGCAATATTGTTAATCTTTCATGCAACAACCCCCAATATTGTTAATCTTTTATGCAACAACCCCCAATATTGTTAATCTTTCACAGTGGATGCTGGAAACTGAATACTGAGACAGCCTCCGGTAATATCCACATTAATTAAGCACGTGGCCTTGTTTCTCCGCCAAATACAGTACACAGAGCCACGTGTAAACACTAAACACGTGACCTTGTAACCACACGTCTGCAAAACAAGTGCTGTTGCTCTCACCTGTTGTTGTTGTTGATTTAGCTACTCAGACCGAAATATCCATATAGCACGGGGCTATAATGATCTCGTAACTGCTCTCACTATTGACAAAAGTTACGGGCTCACTGACTATTTTACTGTACAGAAGTCTGACTCTTACCTACAAACTAATTACGTCTTCAACCCATCTTCCATCCTCATCCTGCTCGCGTTCTAGATTAAAAGAATATGTATATTTAACAATATTTTGTGTACATACCATATGGCGTCTCCGTGAAGGCCCCCAAGGCAGCAAGCGTCTGCTCTGTTTGCTGCGTCCTATGATGGGCCTTGTACAAACCCAGCAGTCTCTCTTCTCTTCCCACGGACTGTTTACACAGATTTTCTGCAATGACGATAAAAGTAACTTGGTTTTACTACATTTTCTATGTCCATCACACTCTGTAGAAAACTAATTCTACAAGAAATGATCATGAAAGACTAGCTGTGAATAATTACAGTTTAACGTTGAGTGTAATCAAAGTGAATTGATTGATAAAGATTACGCCACCCAAGAGGTGGCACGGGCATGAATAGCCCGTAATCAAAGTGAAGACTATAATTATCTTATATAACCAATGAATAAAGCGCAACAAACCTACCTACAGCGTTTTGGGGAGGAAGCTGCAGATTAAGAGTTAAATCCCCACTTGGCAACGAATGTAGTAGAATGTGTGTTGCATCACCTTGTGCTGGGGGCTGGTCTCCCGCGTCTCCAGCTGGCTGGTCGCTACTGTAACTAGTGGTTTTTAGCTTGTAAACACTTAAGTTTTCAGACAGAGCCGGGTACATGTGATCATTTAAATGATCTGCGAATATCTTGTTGACGACTTGCTGGTCGAGCTGTGACGGGAACACACTACCGAATACCACCTGGTATAAGAGAATAATAAGACTTTATTGTACGATAATCATAGCATACTTGTATTTGTAATCTTAGAATATATTTGTAATTTTACTCCCCGTAAGAAATGTCCTGTAAAAAATTAAATCAAACCTACACAGCCACTCGTATGGTTCAGTAAACAGTTACACATATTGACGTAAACAAACTGTTGAGACACAAAACACTGGCGCCTCACCTTAGCGAGAACATTTGCTAATACATCCCACGACATGTGCGCCTTACTGGTGTAATTCCGACCAACCTCGAGCGCCTCGACCAGCAGTGTTTCCGAGGCAGGTGGACGCCTGTGCCAACTCTCTCCACCGTACTCCCCCTTCGCCTGCGGGGATTAACCATTACAACCATGTGATGCCAAGGAGCAAATATCCCCTCCCACGCACATGAAATGAAAGCGACGAGATTTTGGTCCGTCTGGGACTTCTATTCAAGTTGTGACGTGTTAAAGAGTCCACGAATTTGTAAGTCACGACTGGACGGAGGTCTAGAGCGGACTGGAACGTCACCACTTACATTCGTGAGAGTTAGGTTGTTTGCAGCCACGTTATTGTGACTGTCTCTCCAAACCAGGATATTTCGTGAGATTGGTACATACAGTACATCAGTATATTTAGATTATTTCCTTTAAAAGCTGACTTACATGTAGTACAGCGTAGATGTAGGCGGTAGTTAGGACAGCTGCCTTTGTGTGATCTTGTAATGGTCTTGATGCGTGTGTGTGCTTCTGCAGGTGACTATAAGCGATGGGCAAGTAGGCAGCAAGACTCGTATAAAGGCTGACTGGTCTCTCAACTTGAGCTGAAGTTATATTTGATCATCATAAGTATTAAATCTGAGATGGTGTACTTATAAGTTCCATCACTTTCTTGAAGCTAATGAGGGTAGAAATTGGTGATAAGAACAGTATAGGCTTTTAGGTTAAATTATTATGCAGCCAAGCTTTACACAACATCCATTTACTTGTTAAATTATTATGAGAAAGTAATTTAGTTTTCTTATATTAAAATAAACAAAAATGGATGCCGAATGTTTATGATTTATATTGTGGAATAATCGTCATCCATTCGTCTCAATTATGAAATTAATTTGTTAAAAAATTAAAAATAATATTCTGGCAAGCATTACCGAAGTTACCTGATAATACGACCTTCCTTAAGAGGTAAGCTTCACCCTTACCAGAGTGAAGATGGGATATACGGCATCACATATATCTCATGAGTTATGAGGTTCCCTTTATTTAGCAACACAATACAGAACTGATTACTTCCAACTCTAGTGTTACTCAGACCTACAGACATCATAATGCTCACAGTTCGTGACTATTAATATGTAATAATGAACATGATGAATCTTTTAGATTCACCATACAGGTCTGTTACACCCAGAGGGAGATCTTTCAAGTACATCTACCATTTGAACTTGTTAAGGTTAAGCCATTCAACAGACCTGCTTTCAACCGCCTGCTTCGCCCGGGTCATCTCGACATGGACACGCGAGCGTGACACAGCAGTTCCTGGTGTTATCATACAAGATATTTTGGAGTATGGGGGTGTTACTAAACAAAGGTTCCTGGTTTATAACAGTTATCATGCAAGAGCCCCTGATTTCTGGCCGTGTTATCATATAAGAAACCCGTAGCGTATCGCGGTGTTATATTACAACAGCTTCAACATAATAACAACACCTGTGTGGTGGTGTTATCATACAAGAGTTTCTGTTGAATGCTGCTCTTATGAACAAATCCACAAGGGCCGTGACGAGGATTCGAACCTGCGTTGGGGAGCATCCCAGACACTGCCTTAGTCGACTGATTAAGGCAGTCGTCACGGCCCTTGTGGACTTGTTCATTTGATGCATCACGTTAGTGTGATCTCTGTGTGTGATGCTGCTCTTAACATACAACAGCGCCTGGTATATAGTGGTGTAACCAGTCAACAGCGGTCAGCTTACCCACTACAGCATTCTGACACTTGACTGCATTCTCGGCGACGTCAGCGACCACGCAGAAGACGGTAGGGGTGACGAGCGTGGGAGGGAGAGTGAGTAGAGCCGCCTGGGCGTTGGGGAGGTGGTGGGACGCCGTCTCGCAGTCCAGCAAGATGAGCCAAGTTCTCCTCCTGGCTGCCATCACCACCCGTCGACGGATCTCCTGGTGAACACTTACAATTTTTAAAGCTATTTCTTCGCGACATTTACATAGAAACAGATATAGAGAGAGTAGTTAGATATTGAAATGCGTTTCTGTTAGTGCCGGCTACTGATCACATGCCTCTGTATGACTAACCATCCTGTGTGACGGGGATTTTAGCATCACGTAGCTAGTTTTTTTGACACAGTTTCTCCCCTCCTGCATTTGTGCATCTACCCTGTCTAGGGTAGATGCACAAATGCAGATGTACCTAAATGTGTTATTAAAACAAAAATCAGATTCCCTACAAAAGAAAGCATGTTCTGATGGCTCATTTATATTGTGTAGGCTCCCAACACTTATATGGTGACATCTTTTTTTTGGGTGAACCCGAGCACCGCCGGGGACATTATCAGACTACAGACACTGGTGAATACAGGGGTCCAAGATCTCGAGCTCCATCCTGATGGTACAAATAGGTGAGTACTGACACAATGCGTGTTCCGGTGGCAGTTTTGCATTCCGTCATAACTTCTTAGACAAAATGTTTATGTATTTTATTCTTCAGACCTTCTGTTTCATAAAATCTTAAACACTGGGGAAAAATAAACATCTCATCTATGATGAGTTGAGCTCTTAGAGGCAAAAAAATAATGCAAGTAAAGGAATGAATTAATAGAAAGTTAAAAACAAATAAAAACAGATAAATGAATGAATGTAAAAGTTGCATTCACACAAATATTTGAAAAATGGTCGCTAAATGAGAGCATAAATAATAATAATAATACGATTAGTCTGTAAACCAAAAATGTTTACTCTTTATTATATTTAAAAGTATAGGCATAAGAGAGGGAGCAAGTGAATAATTATGGGGGTGGGGAGAGGTTGTAGTGACGTTCAGACAGTAAATGATGTTACCGACACTTAACCCACAAACCTGAAAATAAAAGAACTGACGATGTTTCGATCCGTCTCAGACCATTATCCAAGACGGTCGGACTGAAACATTGTCAATTCTTTTATTGTCAGATTGTGGGTTGAGGTCTGTTTTCAGCCACATTACTGTAACTTTCTGTCTGCTGGGAAGTTACTGTTTTCTCTTCTATAGCTGACCAATACTCTCAACACGATGCGTGAAGACAACATAGCCTGCTGGGAGGCTGCAGCCAGGGACGTCATCAGGAAGACAACATAGCCTGCTGGGAGGCTGCAGCCAGGGACGTCAGGAAGACAACATAGCCTGCTAGGATGCCGCAGCCAGGGACGTCATCAGGAAGACAACATAGCCTGCTGGGAGGCTGCAGCCAGGGACGTCAGGAAGACAACATAGGCTGCTAGGATGCCGCAGCCAGGGACGTCATCAGGAAAACAACATAGCCTGCTGGGAGGCTGCAGCCAGGGACGTCAGGAAGACAACATAGGCTGCTAGGATGCCGCAGCCAGGGACGTCATCAGGAAGACAACATAGCCTGCTAGGATGCCGCAGCCAGGGACGTCAGGAAGACAACATAGGCTGCTAGGATGCCGCAGCCAGGGACGTCATCAGGAAGACAACATAGCCTGCTGGGAGGCTGCAGCCAGGGACGTCAGGAAGACAACATAGCCTGCTGGGATGCCGCAGCCAGGGACGTCATCAGGAAGAAAACATAGCCTGCTGGGAGGCTGCATCAAGAGACAGGAAGAAGACTGACCTGCTGGGATGCTGTTGCCATGGAGAGGAAGGTAAGTTTATAATAAGGAAGACCAGCATCTCTTGCGACGTCCATCAGTACACGAGGAAGATTGGCGCCTCTGCTTACATTTACCTGTAAACAAATTACAGGTTATTTATTAATTGAATATTCCCTATATCAACCTTACATTCCTTATATTAACCTGATATTCCATCCGTAACATCTGATGCTTACTATATAAAATATGATATTTCTTGTATCAAAATATTCTAACCTATTCTTTATGAGGCATTACAAAATATAGTTCAGCAACTAGCTCTAAGTTCATCTAATATCCCCATCTCAGAGGATGGTTAATCATGCATGGAGTCGGGAGAAAACACGAGATGAGAGCGTAGTCTACCAGTAAACTCTAAGTAGAGCACAAGAATATCTTCCAATATTCGCGAGTGTATGATATAACAGAAGTATAATCTGCACCTATGATAAACTCACCTGAATAACGTTAGTTATCCTGGATCTCCTTGCTTTCTGCTTCTTTGTATGATGGAGTATTGCCTTCGGCAGCCTGTGTGGAGGCAAGATAGAGCGTTGCCATAACTTTACAACAGCGGCTGCTCAAGATATTTCTGACCTGAGACTACATCTCATTGAAGCATTGTCGGATGAACTAACAAGATGCCCAAAACAAATGAAAAAATGTCTGAAAATCTTACTCAAAATGGAGGGAAACGACGAGACGTATAGGTGCATTACAACACTACATTACTGAAGCAGATATGGTATAGTTGCTATACCATATCAACTACATTACTGAAGTTGATATGGTATAGATGTAACTACAGTAAATGTAGTTACATCCTTTTTGTAACTTATCTCCGAGGGAAATTTAAGTGAAATATATATCATATAAAATTCCAGTAGCATTCATCAATATATCGTGATATTCACTCTGGTATATATAACAACGTAATGAAGACTTACGTGTTAGAGTTGGATTTCAGAGCGCCATCTGCCAGGGTTCTTCTAACAAGATCCGTCATGGCGTCCACCAGTAGGTCCTGCCGCAGGTGGCGCGCCAGTATTGCTCGCTGTGCTGCCTGCATCAACACGGCCCCACCACATTAGTCACATGTACAGAGGCTTGACACAGTAATAAAATCATGCAGGGAAATTGTTTACCTAACTTGACTCGTACAAAGATATCACATTAATGTGATGTATTAATGAGAAAATCAATGAGAAAAAAATAGGATCCTATAAAAATAGGATGTGATGTATCAGTGAGAAAAATTGGATCCGTTTTTTCCTATCTTGACTCATCTTTGCCATTCTCTGCTGACCCTGTTTGTCAGGAACTACCTCTAATAGACTGCTCTAAATGCCTATACAAGCTGTTCTAATGCAGGCGATGAGTCACAATAACGTGGCTAAAGTATGTTGACCAGACCACACACTTAAGAATGGTCCAGGACGGGCCGAAACGTCGTCGTCCCTTCACCTTCTAGTGTGTGGTCTGGTCAAGTTGTTCTAATCCCAATTTTCTCACATATCTATGGTATACTTTTCCCTGTTACAGTAATTCTAAATACAAAAAACACAGATTATTCGTCTCTGCTTCCCATAATGTTTACCAACCTGCACTGAAGGAAATTAATATATTGCATCTTTACAATACGGTTGGAAGTCAGTGTCAGTTATAGTGACATCATATACACAAGGACATACAGATATAAGAATATGATCTTATATGCTAGGGTTGGATTTCGTTATTACGTCTATTAAATTATTGGCACATACGAGGCTTCTCCAGTTTATATCCACTCACAATCATTAATTTATATGTCTAAACTGTACTTGAAACAATTCATCGATTTCTCGTCTATTATGTTATCCAGTAATTAGTTCCATAAATCAGCAACTCTGTTTCCAAACTTGGGCCTCTAGTCAACAAGGCTCAGGACCACCATCCAGTTACTTTAATAAAAATAACTAAATTTGTGTTAGTTTTGAAACTTTGTTGGCTTGAAATTATCTTGAAATGGATTTTATTTTGCCCTTCTGCTATATCTTTTAAGATTAACATTAATTTCATTCACCTGGACTCTAGGAGACTCGAACCACGGATCTCAAGCCTGTGAAGCAGAAGGTTTATCCACTCAGCTATGAGTAATCTTAATAAGGAAACATTTCAGAAGCAACTACTGTTGCTATACTGGAATTTTCAACTGTTTCAATGGATGTTGAAAATTTCAATTAAATGTTTATTTCTACGGAAGTCTACTAGCCTCTAAAGCATGTCTCTAAGAATGACAATTTATCAGCATTAATTATCTATGGCAATTTGGTTTGGTGTTGGGGCTGAGGTCTATCACCTGCACGAGGCTCAGTACGGCCGCCACAATAACTTTACTGACCAACCAGCAAAGTGTACTTTAACTTGAAACATAGATAGTTTACTTTAGTTTAAGGCTGTGTATCTACACCGAGCAGCAAGATTCTCCTCTCGCTGTATATAACAAAAGGTGTGGTTGTGTGTCTGACTACAAAACATGATGAAAACAATGACGTTATTACAATTTACCTGCTTAAGACTTCCTCTATTAATATATAATTTTTGTATCTATCCATTATCTATGAGAAGCTTTAGCAAGCATACAGGTACACGCTTGCCTTGTCTATTTAGGCTGCCAAACATATGTCCATACAAATACACGCGTTTCGCCTGAAGAATATTATCTAATTAAGAAATAATACAGAAATCTGCAGAACCTGAATAATTGCACAGAAGACCTTACTTGCTGGATAGGATCAGTGGCAGGAAAGACATCAGGCCAGGAGCAGGTGCCTCGTGCCAGCCACAACAGCAGGTTTGATTTTCCTGATTCCTCCAAGACTTCAAGTGGGGCTGGAAACAGGCTGCTGCATCTTTCACTCAGGTGAGTCAACACATAGGCACTCTTAATGATAGAGAGACGTACACTTTGATCAGTTATAATACAACTTAAAGATAATCCTTAAATTAGAAGATAATTTATTAGTTGTGAAGCCAGTATGACTACATAACACTTAAAAGGGTAATGAGAACAGGTAGCTAGAGTGTGAGGATTGAATGAAGTGGCTAACCACATGGGGTCTATTCAAAGATCGAATGCCATCCTTGAAGAGTAGCGGGACAGTCACTCTACTGACCAATACACTTGTTGTTTACTGCACACTAAGCACGAGCATTACAAAATATCATAAAAACGCGAAAAACCTCCTGTCTAAATAGCTTAGCCTCTCATACCCTCATGTCTCAAAAGAATTTTAATGGAAGGAATCGTTCCTCATCTTAGATAACATGTTCTCGTTAAAGCGCCTTTCTTTACGTAAGATATGGCTACCACTTACACAGAGTATGAAACGCTAAATGTCGTCTTGTACAATAATATAATCACTATAATCATATAATATAATCAATATTATGTACCATTCAGAAATGGGGTCTTCAAGCAGAGAGATCAACAGTTGCAGCATCATGGCAAACTCAGATAAAATTACAATCTTGAACATTCGATAATTTGAAACAAGCACCTAAAGTGAGAGGAAAATAAAAAGACAAATAAAATAGAACAAATAAAATAAACAAAAAATAATATAAAAATTATATTTTGAGTCCTCTTCTATGTTTGGAAACCTGATATAATATTTAATGTCCTTTCGAATGCTATATTACAAATGTGACATTTAAATTCTCAAATCCAATGAACAAAATAAGATTCAGACTTTACCCTTTTATCACATTGTTTAGGTAACCACCTTGGGATGGAATCTTCCGGTTCAGCATGCTCGTCTTGTGTGTCATCAGCATCATAATCACCTGTAAGAGATTCATCAAGGTCGTCCGTGGAGTCACGATGCCCTGACGTCTTCGTGAGATCCGGGATGCTGATATTATCCCACACTATTTCTTCTTCACTCAGCGGGACTAGGAATGCCCGAATGTAATCTTCATTCTCTTGTTTCATGTTCATCTTGGCTAAAGTAAAACAGGTAGCCACAATGAGCCGGTGTTGAAACTGTAGACGCATGTCCATCAGTTCAAAAACTGTATGTGTAACTACATTCATCATGTCCTCGTTTTTCTTTAAATATTCTGAAAAGTAGGAAAAAAAATAAAAGTAGTATATTTATTGTATTCAGAAAGTTTATAAGTTTAAGCAAAGTCTACGTTTGTTTTCGGTCTAGGGTAAAAGTAATATGATCAAAGCATACAAACTATTTTTGAAGCTAGAAAACAAAGAATCTTCTAATGCTGCTTGAAACACTAATCACTTCCCTCTCATTAATTAACCACCACTCTACCTTGGCTAGTCTTCCCCTCACTGTTCACTTGTTCCTGCGAGAGTTGTACCAGCTTAGAGGCGAGGCTCTCCTGCAGGAGGCTGAGAGGCAGAGCATAACATGAGCTGAGAGCAGACAACGTGTGAGTCATGTGGTAGAGCCGGGCAGCATACCTGGCCACATGCAAGTATCGCCCAGCAACAACATGCGTGAAATCCTTCACAGTACTCTGGTGCATATCCGATGTAGCTATAGCCTGTTAAAAGTAAACATTATAAGTTTATTGAATAATATCAGGGATTACATATGTAACATTAAAAGCAGCACTAAGATATTAAAATGTCAAGTAAACATAGCAGATGTGTGTGTACATCAAGAGGTGTATTCCGCTTCTCAGTGTATATACATTGAGGGTTTAATTTAGTGTCCTGAATGTAGTTCAAGAATAAAGTATGCTTGCTGGCTGGCCAGTAACCTCTGGTCGTGCATTAAGATCTCTCCAGAGGTTGATAAACTTTTAATCACATCTCCAAAGCATTTCAAATTGAACAAAAATCACACACACTTACATCATTTAAATTGTTTATTTGGTGCATGAAACCTGTTAGTTCATCTCTAGAGGTGAGGTTACTGGCGTGGATAAGAGCATGTATCAGGGCTGCTTCTCTCCTCTCCCTCTCCTTGCAGGACCCACTCACCGCCTCCAGCCCCCGCCTCACTTCCTCCTCATATCTGGGATCATGACTCTTTATCAGAGTCTCAATAAGTTGATGAACAATGCCCTGCATGGATTGGGAAATCAGCATATTATTACCTTATAAAGTTAAAAAACGCGCAATATGTTATTGAAGAACACAAAGTTCTGACAGCACTGTAATAATACCTAGAGTGTGATGATGATAAGCCACTTGACTACTTTGTGGTCAAGTGTGATCTTGATGAGTGTGGCAGTGGTCACAATTGACCACTGCCTTGTGGTCAATTGTGACATTGATGAATGTTTTATAGTTGACCTAGATTGCCATAATTATCATTCAGCTCCTGGAATTTGCATACAAATCCCTTAAAGTCATGATTAAATTCTCTTGTTATTTAAATGACAAATAATATAAAGAATAGTTTCCATTTATGTAAATAAAATAATTATTTGTGAGAGCATATCACCTATGCATGCATTTTTGGATTCTGGTATGTGTGACCATTGACTCTCTGGCCTGTGTGAGCTAATTCGATTTGAGATACATTCCAAAGTGTATGTTTAGTTTGCTAAGGGTGACTATTCTCTGTATCAAAGTCTTGACTACGATAACTAGTAAAACTAAGTAACTATAAACATTTAAATATTGTAACAAATGTGTAGAAGGTCTGGGGTTAAGATCCCAGACAGGCACCCACTTGTTAAATTTTTTAATGGTTTAATTACTGTATATTATATTATATTTTATATATATATATATTAGTAAACCATTAAAAATTGTAACAAGTGGGGGCCTGTCCGGGATCTTAACCCCAGATTATATATATAAAATATATGTAATTTATCCACTTGACCTGGTCAGAACAGCATTGGCCTTGCATCTTGCAAGGTCGTCATTCTATTCCCAATACCGGTTAGGCACTACTCATTCACTATCCTAATATCCCAGCTTCTCATCCTCATATCTCCACCATGTGTTATATTCTGAATTTATGGCTCCTAATAATTATCTTATCTTACCTTGTGGTCGAGCATTACATTGATGAGTGTGTGCTGAGAGCAGAGTTGGCAAGGGGCAGAGATGCAGTCATCCTCAAGAATGATTACCACCTTCTGTTGACTGCCCTCAGGTGTACACCCTAAGAAAACAATGCATACATTTGAATACATAAGATCTCTCTTTCACTTGACAACATATGTCTGATCAGAGGGCGGTGTAGATGGTAAAATATTATCTCTATCAATAATAGGGAATATCTCTTTTTAAAGTTAGAGGCCAGATACGGATTTGTTCATTAGAGGCCAGATGCTTAGGGCCTTGTCTCGCCTAACTTTCACATATGAAACATGGGTAGGAATGGGGAGTAAACATACGTAAGCAACACAAATTTTCTATACTTATACACAATACCTGTCAAGAGGTTGAACACACACTTGACAGCCGGTAGAGCTAAAGAGTGTTCGGCTCTTAGGTATAACACACCCTGTTCTTCTCTTAGTCGCTCTTTTAATTCCTGCATCCATGTGCCTTTATCCAATCTTACCCAAACACCTTCACTTATATATTCTTCAATCTGAATGATACAAAAAGGACATTATTAGTTACATAATACAGTAGAAGAGAGTTTACCGACAAAATTAGTGTAAAGATACACGAGACTGTCTCATACACATAACACGAGGCTAACTTTAACACATAAGGCTAGGTTCAACGCATACCAGCATAACATGATTCAAGCTCTGTTATATAACACACACTCTGTGTACAATAATGCTAAAGAGAAATAGATAAAACTGTTTATTAATCAAGAAAAATGTGGAAAAAATAGGATTATAACTATAAATATAAGTGAAGACAAAAACAATTGCAGTACTTCAAGTACAAACAACAATAATGAGTATAATAATCTCACAAGGTAGTGGGGGTCTTGTATTAGCAAGAGCGAGCTGTGGTTGAGATGGTAATCCACTGCCTCTCCAACCAACTCTTGCAGGTCTCTCACATGGGATTCCAATCTGCACGAAAATAAATTTGCGTTGTAGATATCTAAACTCTAGCTTCTTTAATTTAAAGTAATCATTCTTAATTTTTTATTTACCGTTATGTTTATGAGGATTAAAGTTTTACCTGAATGACATTTGTTGTTCAATATCCTGTGGTTGAAGTAAAAGTCCGCGGCTAATAAGGTCCCTCTGCCATGTGGAAATGAAGATGTCCCGCATTTCAGGCAAGAGAGGCGTAAGATAGGTCAATCTGGCAGCTGCCAACAAGCATTCACCCATCACTTGCTTTGATAAAACTTGTTGCTTCTCTATTTCCTTTCTCCATCTGCCATAAAACATTGTTGGTTTTGAAAATGAGTGAAGAAAAAAACATATGACGTTTATGTTCCGAGATACATTACCAATATTAACTAAGAAATGAATGTACAGAGATTTGAAGTTTAATTTCAGTAGCTGAGGTGTACACAACAAAAAGCGATATATATATATATATATCTAATATATATATATATATCTAATATATATTATATATATATATATATATATATATATATATATATATATATATATATATATATATATATATATATATATATATATATATCTAATATATATTTTCTTATGTTTCTTTTCACTGTCGATGGTAATTGAAAAATCAATTCTCCAAAAATCATTTTTATTTCTAGTCTGACGCGACACTTGAACGCGTTTCGTAATAACTTATTACATTTTCAAAGACTTTAGTTTACACACACACAACTATAACCTGCAAACACTAAACAGAGTTGATTGATTGATTGATAAAGATTAAGCCACCCAAAAGGTGGCACGGGCATGAATAGCCCGTAAGTGGTGGCCCTTTTGAGCCATTACCAGTATCAAGAGCTGATACTGGAGATTTGTGGAGGTGCAACTGCACCCTGCGTGACGGGAGATGTCTCCCGTAATTATTAATTTTTTTTTCTCTTTTTTCTTTTTTTTTTTCCCCAGTGTTCTGAGGTTGCATTTAACCATCAAGCTGTTATCGTGGGGGAGGATACTGCTTCACAGTCTTTATGAGGGTGTCCAGCTGCTGGACACCTTTGTTGACCAGGAGAGTGGCTGTGTTGATGGCTTCAGGGTGGCCACTGCATGATTCAGTAACTCTTAAAGCTCTTCTAAGGTCATTGGTTGCTTCACATTCCAGAAGATAGTGAAGTAATGGCTTTTCTGTGACAGTTTGGCAGAAGATGCACTCTCTCTGTCGGGGTTCACCAATCTCCCAGTTGCATCTGTAACCTAGACGTAGTCTATATAGCCTAACTGCTATTTCCCTGTGGATTCCTTTTGGGATATTTAACCTTTCTAATTTGGTTGCCTGAAGATACCATGTTGCAGATGGCGAACCTTCAGCTATTCTCTGGTGCAGGTAGGCTTTGTTGAGATGTGAGAGTTTTTTGGTGATGATGTTTTTTATGTTCTCTAGGCTGGGTTGAATTGTTTTATGTATCACTGGATGACGAGTTGCCAATTTAGCAATTTCATCAGTAAACAGAGTTTAAACAACTCTCATTTTATACCTGCATTTAGGTGAGGTGATATGTTACAACAGTTTTGGATGAGGTGAAAACAAACTTTCAACACAAGAGAACACCAGAGAAGTCTTAACAAAAACACGGAAATCATTGATAGATACAGCAATAGCAGGCGGCTTGATATCTGCAAGGCACTACACATTAAGAAGTCAACACCAGCAATCAACAGCCAATTAATGCACAACTATATTTTACCCACTTCAAGACTCCGCACCAATATAGAAGCATCAAGAAATATGGGTCAATACGCCGTTTGCAGTTACTTCCATTCTTCCCTTTAACTGACCCAATATTATACCCATTATTTCGTGTTCTGTCTTGTGTTGAAAGTTTGTTTTCACCTCATCCAGATGGTAGGTCCAACTTATACTACTACTCCGTCAATAACCACTGACCAACCTCTCTGAGTGAGGGTTTAGTTGACTGATGACAGCCAGGATGCTCTCTAGCTCCTCCTCTACAGCCATGTTCTCCTTCCTTAACGAGGACGCTCGCTCTTCCTCCTCACGCAAGCGAGACTTTAGCTCTGCAATCTTCTCCTTATGCATCCTTACTAACCGCTCCTTCGTTGCCATTTCAACTTGAAGCTGAGAATGAATATAATAAATCCTCTCAGATAACATCATCTGTAAGTATGAATGAACGTGAAGTGTGTAGGCTACTTACATAGAATTTTGAGTTTTTACTAAATAATAATTTTTGTCCGAAATTCCGAGACCATATACTAACCCCTGAACGAAGAACAGATCTTTGTCACCAGAGTATGAAGAACAGATCTTTGTCACCAGAGTATGAAGAACAGATCTGTCACCGATGAACCAAGAACAGATCAACGCAGTCAAAATCAAGAGGAGAACAGATCTACACAGGGACGCGCAAACCAAATTTCCTAAGTGATCGATTAGGTCACCCACCTGCTTCTTCTGGTCGGCAAGGGCTTGAACGCGGGCCTGCCGTGGCTGGACGTCCTCGTGGTAGCGGTGCCAGAAGAAGATCGCGCTCCGCAGGTACTGAAGCAACACTCCCCCTATGTCGCTGATGCGGGCCATGTGCTCACTCGTCATCTTGATTTGCTACAAAGGTAAGGCAGTTGTCAGTAGAGTACGCTCAGTATGACTATATAGCACATGGGGACAAGGAGCTGGGATATGGGGACAAAGAGCTGGGATACGGGGAAAAAAAGCTAGGATATGAGGACAAAGAGCTGGGATATGGTGAAATTAGCTGGGATATGGGGACAAAAAACTGGTATAAGACAGGGAAAGGAAGGTGTCCAACCACTTGGACCGTCGCGGATCGAACGCCGACTTGCAAGGAGCGAAGCCGTCACTTTACCGACCAGTCCAAGTAGAAGCAAGATCACCACTTGACTTCGTCAGCCACAATAAAGCGAGGGTGTGCAGATGCTCATGTAACAACTGTGCAGGGATGTTAATATATGATTTTGTGGGCGTTTGATTCTATAGACACACATACACCAACACTGTCTGGGGCTCAAGGCCAATGATTTACTTTAAAATTTCATCCTTCAGTACTTCTACTAAACAAACCTCGAGCTTCTCCGCTAACATGGCGATAACATTGTGCTTGAGGCCAGAGACGCAGACAGCGGCCAGCTTGTGGCAGAAGTTGTCGTCCTGCACGGCTTGACGCACGGCGCGCCATGACATATCCGTCGACCCCAACACCACCACGGCGCACTCGAACAGTATCTGAACCGCCGAAATGGGCGATCGAGACCTGTTCCAGCCAAATAAAACAGTTTCACGGTATTAATTCTAGCATTGGTTGGCAAAGACGAAGCTTAATTAGACCTTACTGTTACGGATTGTGTCTTGCTTGTGCAACATAAAGCTTCAGCGTGCACTGAAAGATGTTTAATTTAAATAAGGAGCGCAGTATATACGAGTTATTATGGTAGCCCGGTCTTGACTAGGCCTATAGTTAAAACTACTACATGTAAAATAACAAAATTAAATTTATTTATTCAAAACATTTAGTTATGAGTTATTTCTTTATATACATAGTACAGTAAATTGATTAAAGCAACTAACAAAAATACTTAGGTACAAATTAGGTATAATTTATTGAAAATATATTTCACTTTAGAATTGATTAAATTTGTTTATCATTAACAACACTTCACTTTACTGTACATTTTTATTTACATGAATTACAGAACTAGCTAAATAATAATTTTAAACTATTTTACTTATTAATAAATGTTAAACAATAGTTTCTAACTAATAAGCAGTTTTTATTGACGAATGAGCAGCTAATAAACTAACATGGTGATGGTTAATGTGGGGGTCTAACTAGTGTAGGGGGTCTAGCCACTGTTGGGGTCCAGTCAATGTGGGGGTCTAGCCACTGTAGGGGTCCAGTGTGGGGGGGGGGTTCTAGCAACTGTAGGGGGGTGTCCAACCAATATTAGGGGGGGTCTGGCCAGTATGAGGGGGTCTGCCAAGTATGAGGGGTCTGGCCAGTATGAGGGGGGTCTGGCCAGTATGAGGGGTCGGGCCAGTACGAGGGGTCTGGCCAGTATGAGGGGTCTGGCCAGTGTACATGCAGAACATTCACTACACCTGATTTTAGAATGTGAACTGTGCCAATTTTTGTCTGTCAGATGATTTTTACAATGTCAGAAATCTCCGGAAAATTTATTAATATATAAAAATAAGAATTTGACAAAAAATCAAACTGCATACATCGGAATATATAATATTGATAATCTTTAGTGAACAATCTATAATATTATATTATGAATGATCCCAAACATTACAGTGACCATAATTAATTCTTTGTATATTTCTATAGTCATAGGACCATCATATTAGAAGGTTCCACAGGAGAACAACAACTGCTCCTGTGAACACCTAACAATCAGCAACAGACTGACAATAACACAGCTCAATAATTTAATATAGTCAAGACAACTAAGCCTCTTTAAAACTATCAACAAAGAGTGCAAAAATCCCTCTTAATGCAACAAACAAAACCAAAGAAAGTCCCTGAACACATACAGTCATTAAATTCAGCCACATGCATTGAACACACAAACATTTAGAATACACATAGTTAGCAATGCAGATAATATAATTCATGCAGTGTTACAGAGGTGATATATTAACCAACTGAGGTGGTGAAAATGTATTAGTTGCAACATATCGAGTCTAATGTTTAATTGTGATGAAGGAAGATTTGAATGTTAGAAATATGATTCTTTTGTAACGAAAGATATTTCAACATCCGTAACATATTTTTGGTGTCATGATGCGTTTCTGAAGAATGAGGTATTCTGGGGTTGTGATGTTTTACCGAGGGGTGAGGTTCTGAGGTTACGATGTGCTGCCGAATTGTCTTATTGAAGCCGATTTGTTCAAATTGTGCAGACGAGGAGTCACAATAACGTGGCTGAAATATGTTGACTAAACCACACACTAGAAAATGAAGGGACGACGACGTTTCGGTCCGTCCTGAACCATTCTCAAGACAATTGTGTCGAAACGTCGTCGTCCTTTCACTTTCTAGTGTGTGGTTTAGTCTTCAAACTCTATTATTCAACTTAAGTCAGGTCTGAGACCCTTCCTTATTGTGAGCACACATGGCATAGTAGGTTGGACTAGGCGTGTTTTAATGCTGGTGTTTACTACCTGGTGCATGCTTTTAATATGTCTGCAAGTTTATCAAGAATTAAAACAAGAGAAACAATAGACTGTGTATTATAAGATGACCTGTGGAATGATATGATGACCTGTGGAATGATATGACCTGTGTAATGATAAGATGACCTGTGGAATGATAAGATGACCTCCAGAATGATCTTTAAGACGTTTTGTGAGCCAGTGAGACCAAAGGTTTGTGTGCGCGTGTGTAAACGAGCATTAGCTCAGAGACTAACTCTTGAGGGTCTGAACTACCAAGGCCGTCATCACCAGGGTCTGGAGTTCGCTCCCTGGAAAAATCAATGTTGACATCGGTAGGAAGATTACAATTATTGGTTGAAATTGCATGCATTGTCCTAGTTTAGCTCCATTGACTAAGTCATGGTGTTATGGAGTGAACTATTTCAAAAGCTGTTCTTTAGGGAATAAACCTTTAGCAAAATGATTAGATATATATTACTTGTTATAGCACTAAAAAAATATATACTAATATGTACAACTGAGGATTTGTAAGAGTCATCTGGTTTATCCTTACAGCCAAAACACTATTATTTATATTTAAGGGATATATTTATGTACATATACTATATATTATGAATTATTTACGATATTTACATATACATACTAAATGTTACAAGTTGTTTAGTTATATATTTATTCATATACATACTGTTCCGGGTTATAACAAGGAACTAATTAGAGGCTTTCTTCTATTTACTCAATACGCAACCCATCCTCCGAATTGACAGTACGATTTAATATCAAGTGTAATAAGCACACTTTCTGTCATAACCAGTGCATAATTGCACTTATGGGGCTGTTACATTTACCCAACTCCCTCCCCCGATTTAATTCTCCTCGTTTTCTGTTAAGACACACAGAACTTTAGGATGAAGTTTTCAATTTCAATTTGCAAACCACAAGTTTTAAATATCAGGAATTTCTTTTTCTGGTTTATTAAACAATACAGATTTTATACAAAGTTGTAAAATCTCCTGAGTTATTTTACAATTTATTGATATATTTTAGTTTTGTTTTATTAGTTTTATAAAACTATAATATCAAATTTAGCTATAGGTTAAGTACTAATTGTAATTAAGAAGCAATAATATTATTATCTTCAAAAACTAAGACGGTTAGATGAGGTTGTGGTTTTCTATTCAGTTTTTGAGGTAAACTCAAATATTCACAATATATTTGACAGCACGATTTAATACTAAGTGAAAATAAATACAATTCCTAACTGCTATGAATAGTACATAATTGCACTTATTTGTCTCCTTACATTTTCCACCCTATTTTTGGACGGGCTGCAGTACAATGGTCCTAGGAAACTCTCGGAGGAAAAGGGGAGCTCTTCACACTGACTCGTCCACCTCTGCAGCCAAACTTCACACTGATCCATTAACCTCTAAAACTTGTATCTATATACTGTACCCGAGTCTGTACACTGTACACATGACTATTATACCAGCATATGTATACTTTACCCATGAATATGTACTTATGTATATATAATGAATCAAGGACTCATATCAGTATGTGTAAACTTCACTCATATATACCGTATCTACTCTTATGATGCCAGTGTATGTATATATATTGTACCTATGAATATAATATGCAGGCTCACAAAAGTTATGCTGACTGCCTTTCGCTCTCTCTCTCTCTCTCTCTCTCTCTCTCTCTCTCTCTCTCTCTCTCTCTCTCTCTCTCCCCCAACCAGAGCATCTTACAGCAGCTTGCGGATGCGGTGGATGTCAAGGTGGGCGACCTCTTGGGTGATGTGAGCGAGAGGTTCCTTAGTCTCCTGCACATACTCCGTCACCTCGGTACTCAGCTCGTCTTGGGCCCGCTCTACCACCGTTGCTGCCTTTTCTATCTCACTCACGCCTCTCTCCTCGGTCACTATATCAGCTTCTCCTACCACAGTGAGAAAGGATTTAAACCAGTAAGTCATGATGCATTATATTCTGGCTTAGGGAGTAATTACTCATGCAAAACTTTCCATGTTCTATTGTTATATATTATTTTTATTATATATGTAATTTTTTACATGAATGGAACTCAGAACAGCAATTTCAACATACTCTTCTTGAGGGTCTCTTTTATCTGAGCTATACTTGAGGCCACTTGCGAGAGGCCGGCCTCCAGGGCGTCGTGTTTACCACGGAGGCCTCCAGTGTGAGTCTCCAGGACCTCCACGCGACCCAAGACGGTCTCCAGGTCACTCAGCTGCAAGGAAAACACCACAACATTACTTTCTCCTTAAATCATGATTTGTCTTTAAATTCACAGAAGCTAGAAAGCTTTTAAAATATGATGGAGAGCGACTGAGTTCAAGGGGAGGAAATGATGATTCAGTATGATGAAAGTGATATCTGAGTATGATGCTGATATTATATAAATAAAAGGAGAGAGAGAGGGGTATCACTTTTGGTTGTAAAGGGGACCCATAGCCTCGGAGAAAGGGATATACGGAGCTTTAAAGGGGATATTCAAGTGCTCGATAATGCAGGTTCCAAGAGATTATTGACCAGCTAGTAAGTATACTTTGGTCCTAAGCATATCTCAGAAATAAAGTAAACTCTCAATGTATGTACACTGAGGAGCGGGGGGGTAAAGTGAGTGGTGTACCTTTCCCTGTGAAAGTCACTGATAGGCCAACAGCAGACAAGTTAGTTGGCCAACATTGGTACTGTACACCAAGGGGATATGTACACCGAGAGGTGTACCCGATTTCACGGTTTACATACACAGAGTGTACTTTAGTTATGAACTATACCGGGAACTAAATAGTGCTTACTTGTTGGTTAGTAAGTAATTATCAAAAAGAAGGCACCAAACCGGGAAGGGTATGTAGCACCATCAATTGCGCGGGATAATCAGAGGGCGCTAAATATCACCAAGGATGCCAATACGAGAACAGAATAGTTGGTTTGTAAGTACTTGTGTCTAGACTTAATAAACCCTCCCGAGATTGATAAACCCAACACCAGGGTTAATTTAGAATGATAAACGCCTGTTTAATCCGGCCATTATTGCAATGACTTAAATAAGTTATTACCAATACAGCTTCTAATACTATTTATTCTACTCTGATTAAGGTGAAACCTTTAAGTGAGAAGTGAGAAGAGTGGAGTCACTCAGTGAAAGGTTGACGGGAGAGAGAGAGAGGCAGTGTTTACAGACCTGGCGAAATGTGACTTGTCTTCAGGACACGTTTGCCAGGAAATACCTTTGTGTTCCTCACTATATTCGTATTAGTCTTAAGATTTTCCAAAGCAAACCCCCATCTCAGAATATATATGCTTTTATATATTTGTTCCGAGATATGTAACATAACAAATATAGGTGTACACATACATATTTTTGTGCACACACACACATATATAATATTTGATATATATATATATATATATATATATATATATATATATATATATATATATATATATATATATATATATATATATATATATATATATATATATATATAAATGAGCAAATCCACAAGGGCCGTAACAGGGATTCGAACCTACGTTCGAGAGGATCCCAGACGCGCCTTAATCGACTGAGCTACGATATGGATAAGAATTGCAACCGGTAAATCAACTTGACCTACCACGGATCCTGCAGTCTCTCCGAGGCACAAACCAGGTTTTTTACACAATTACCCCATGCACCCCGGGCTCTGTCAATAAGCTGTTCTACCTCTTCGCCCTTACTTCATTACACACAGAAATCACAATAGCGTGATGCACCATATGAACAAAATCCTCCATCGGGTGCATGGAGGAATTGTGTAAAAAACCTGGTTTGTGCCTCGGAGAGAACTAATTTAAAATTGCCAACTATTTTAATATTAGTTTGCAATTTTAAAATTAACCTTCAGGAAAAACCGACTCACTTTGGAGCGTACGAGCTGCTTCTTGTGCTGTAGAAGGTTGGCGAGAGTGGCAACACACTTCGCCAGAGCTGACACAGACGGCATCTGCTTGACGAGTGAGGAGCTCTTGAGAGCTTCTGGTACCTTGGTAGCGGTTAATGTCCCGTCAGTACTGTATGCTTCATGGACCCACGCCATAAAGTTCGCCATCTCCCCCGGGTTACCACGATCCTCTTCTTTCAGAAACGCGTTCTGCAGACGAGGGATTGTAATTATAGACGTCACATAAAGCAATAATCAACGTTAAATCATCGCTATACAAATCATAGAGGAATAATAATTAAAGACACATTTAACGGCTCGACGAGTGCCTAGTATAAACAAACTAATCTAATTATTAGTCGTAAATCCTAAGAACCATTAGATAAAATCTGGTCGTCTGGCCATCTACTGTTAATGCAACTATCTAATAACCATGAACTAAATCTACCCTGTGAGAGAACAGAAAGCACATTAAGTTAAACATACCAATAATAAGAAACAATATGATACAACAAGTAAATATATATTCATGTATATCTAACCCTGGGGAAAATTTTGGGTCACCTGTTTTACGAGTTCATTGACGAAGGCTTCGTGGAGATCGACGTGGTGCTTGGGCAGACACAGGACTCTGCCGTGACGCCCTGGTGCCCTCAGCTCTCTGCTCAGTGGCCTCACGTCTCCTTCACTCCCAGTCACCACACACAACCTTCACAGTATTTTATGATACTTGTAAGATATAATATTTTTTTATAGTTGGAGTATCACCTCTGGTGCAATTGTAGGGATTCATGGTCTCGAAGAAGAGAATAAAGGGTATTCAAAGAAGATTTTGTGGATTCTTTCTAGACACTTGAGTATTTTCTTCTCCTTCCACTCCATGTTTTTGATTAATTTATACAATGTGATTTATTTTTTACTACAATCACCAGAAGTGGTATCCCTATATTATATACATTAATATATAATATATTATAAATATACATATATTAATATATATATATTATATATATGTCGTACCTAATAGCCAGAACGCACTTCTCAGCCTACTATTCAAGGCCCGATTTGCCTAATAAGCCAAGTTTTCATGAATTAATTGTTTTTCGACTACCTAACCTAACCTAACCTAACTTTTTCGGCTACCTAACCTAACCTAACCTATAAAGATAGGTTAGGTTAGGTTAGGTAGGGTTGGTTAGGTTCGGTCATATATCTACCTTAATTTTAACTCCAATAAAAAAAATTGACCTCATACGTAATGAAATGGGTAGCTTTATCATTTCATAAGAAAAAAATTAGAGAAAATATATTAATTCAGGAAAATTTGGCTCATTAGGCAAATCGGGCCTTGCATAGTAGGCCGAGAAGAGCGTTCTGGCTACTAGGTACGACATATATATATATATATATATATATATATATGTGTGTGTGTGTGTGTGTGTGTGTGTGTGTGTGTAAAAATGTACGCAAGTTATATTTGAATATATAAATTACGCATATTTTTCTTGGGCATTAAGCATGCATTAAACACAATGATATAAAAAATGTGCTTTAAGGCGGTTGAATCAACTTACCACGTGGGCTCCTCATCTTCTGATGCTACTTTGAGAACAGCTTTGAGTACATCTGTGAATAAAAATGCCTGTTATCAGTAACATCCAACGGCTTATGAAAACTGTACCGTACGCTTCATATATAACGCTTCACCAACGGAAACATATATGAGACGATTCTAAATTGTGTACACCTCTGTTTTTGAAATATCATTGAAGTATTTTGATAACATCTGGACTATGCACAGTTATTCCAAACAGTAAACACAGTCAATATGCAAATGGCAAGATACATTCCATGATTTCATTTCCTAACACGTTTTCAAAAAATAAATTATAGACAGCGGGAACTTCTAGAACCTAAACAAAAATAAGGTCAGTAAACCAAGGATTCTTTCCAAATCTCTCGTGTATAACTTGGCTTCACCTGGAAAATTGAGAAAGGTGGCAGGAACGTGGACCATGGTAAGATGCTGTGAAGATGGTGAATCTACGTCTCCTCCTTTTTCTCTTCTCAGTAATTCTAGCATCTCCATCTCGGTATTCCCTGTGATTTCTCTTAAACCTAATGCATGAGAAAGTATTGTTTAGGTATAAATGATTGCTGTATATAAAGTGCTTGAAATCACTCATTCATAGATCTATAATAAGGTTTTGTGTTTACAAAAATATGTGAAAAGAACGTTTAGATTAAGAGACACTCATTATTGCGAATTAGGTTTTAGCGAACGATTTTTTTTTAAACTTTAAAGCAAATATGTAAAACGCAATAAGGATTATAAGTAAAGAAATACCAACATATAAAAAGCAAACTGAAAATAAAGCTTCGAATGTATGTAGAGAGCATGTGGCTGACCCCTCATCTCGGTTACTGCCCGAGACAGCAACTAGCTCATTATTACGAGCTCAGGTCGCTAATTACCAAGATAAGCGGCTGCCATGGAGACTATTATATCCTTATCTCTCGACGATGGACCCAAGACGAGCAGGAAGGGGGCTCGACGGTTTCGGATCACTGCGTGTACAGCATCGACCACTAGAGCGACCCCGACGGCGACGCCCCGGTGCCCACACACCGGCTCCCTCACACCTCGTGCCATCAACACCTATAATAATAATCACGTACCTCTATATGAGGGCATTTTATAGTATAAACAGCTTTAATTCAGCAACAATCACTTGATCCAGAGGACCTGAACGAACACAAAACATGAAACTAACCTTTGTGATCTCTCGAGCCGCTTCAATATCAGTACAGTACTTGGGCAGAGTGTCGTCGGGCTCTGAGGCACTGGCACTGAGCCCTGGAGGCCAGACTGGCACAGGTGCCACCTCTGGTACATTAACTATTCCGTTACACCCTTCAATGACACCCTTCTGTATTTCGTGCCAAACTCGTCCTTGTAACTGCCACAGATGTGAAGAAATGTTGATTAATAATGGAAAGTATGATTATAATATTCTGACTATTTAAATTATATATTGTGTTATGTGCAGTAATGTAATAAAGTAGTAATGTCCTTATATCTCTGGTCTTATTTTGTCCTCATATCCCTTTCAAGTGCTATATAGTCATACTAGCTAAGCTATTTCTCCTGATAACTCCTGTCTGTCGGTCCATATTCCTCTCATCAGCCAATGTGCAGCTACTCACTCAGCACCTCATTAATATTCACAGCCACACTAACAAGTCTTATTCTCTTACAATGAAGGAATGTACCTTGTTGGAGATGACTGTGAAGAGAACTTGCGAGTTGAGAGCATGAAGCCATGTGTTGAAGATGAACACTCCTGAAGATGATGAAGGTGAGGATAGGGAAAGTGAAACGAAGGCAGCTCTCACGCTCGCTACCGTCTTCCATATGATGATGACCTTGTTGGCCGGGGCAAATGGCTCCTCCTCACACTTAACCAAAGTACTCACCCTCTGTCAACAAAAATCTTTGAATTCTTAACGAAAATTGTAAATTCTTAAGAGCTATAAATGTGATACAATGTATTTTGAAAAGTAATATATAAATGTGATAAAATACATATTGAAAAACAATAGATAAATGTTTAAGATTTAAATAATAAATTATTATTAATTGTAGAAATGTTCGGACCCTGGACCTCTGGCTGGGCTACTAAGTGTTGATTAATTGAGTCTTAGGATGCGGACGAGTGTTCATGACTCGCATGTTGACTTGAGTACGATTATGTCCAATGAGTTTAACATCTACTTGTAGTTAAATCTCAGTGGTAATATTGTTTTGTAACTCTACACTGTATTGTACAATGTTTCAGTGGGATGTTTGACATGTGTAGAAGCAAGACATTAATGAGCACTTAAGGCGACTCAGAGAGAGATACAGACGCCAGCGGTGACACAGACACTAAACTCACCTCTGCCAGAAGCACTGTGATGTTCATCAATGCAGTGTGGATGTGACTTTGTAAGGGTACAATGGGCATAATCGCAGATGACAACGCAGTCACACACGTGGCGTCATCAGTGCCCATGTTGTACACACACCAGCCACTGAAGTTATAAGAGCCCTCTAGAGCTGCTATTTTATTATCCTCTCGAGTGCACACACACACTATGTCTGTTGGTCACGGAGAAATGAACACCACTTAATACCATAACACCATTATATATATAAATATATATAAGAGTCAAAATATATACGAAAATGCAAACATATATATACAAAAATATATATATATAAAAACGCGCTCCTCTCCCCAATCAACAAAATACGGTATTAAAGCAAATGAACATTAAATCTGCATTGGTGGGGACCTAAAATATATCTTCTAATGCTTTCTCCATCCTTTTCTCCGAGGCTATGGTTCCCCATTCCAGCTGGACTTGCTGCCCTCTTTCATAGCATTATACAAATATATTTCATTATGTTCGCAGATATTTCCAGCAAGTCACATTGATATATATAACAAATGATGACTGAATCAAATATAAAATTCAATACTGGTTCCGGAAAAGACGAAGGCGTGACTGAAAATACCTTTTTAGCACCACAAAAAGTCATTCAAGAAGTAGATGAAGGAATCTTTTAAGTTACACCTGAAATCTTTATTTTTGTTGTTGTTGATTCAAGAAATACGAAACAAAATACAGCAGTATCTTACAAGTATTACTGTAATACTTACAAATATTACAGAGGCGCATCCAGCGCACTCGTTCTTCCGTCTCGTACAGACCTTTGTGTCGAGCCAAACCCTCCAAGTAACTCCAGGCTGCGGAATTCACCTAAAAGAAAATAAATTATAGCCATTTTTGACAATCCATTCGTGAATGTTATCACACACACACACATGCGTGGCTGGAAGACAGAAGATCTCCGAGAGGCATGATCACTACCTACAAAATTCTCAGATGAATTGACAGGGTAGATAAACTGTTTAACACGGGTGGTACGCGAACGAGGGGACACAGGTGGAAACTAAGTACCCAAATGAGCCACAGAAACGTTAGAGAAAAACGTTCAGTGTTAGAGTAGTTAACAGATGGAATGCATTAAGCAGTGATGTGGTGGAGGCAAACTCCATACACAGTTTCAAATGTAGATATTATAGAGCCCAGTAGGCTCAGGAATCTGTACACCAGTGGAATGAGAGTTGAGAGGCGGGACCAACACACACACACAATAAATAAGTCATACTCTGTGTTGTTTCGTATGTTAAACACAAGTATTCCTAGAACTCTTGGTCATATGGTCTGCTTGAACCTCTGGTTTTTATATTATAGATCTCTTCACGTCAGTGGCTTCAAATATAATCCAAAAAAATTATGAATATCAATTTAGGCGAAACAAAAGTACTTTCTGTATATCTATATGACAACAGCTGGATAATAATTATTCATAAACTGTGCAAACAATAGAAATCATACAATATATAAAAGGTGGAAAAATACAACAGTTGCTTTAACACATAAAAAAAACATTAATAATACACAACAAATGCACAATACTACAAAATATTATTTTGTTGAATATTACAGAAAAACAATTATTTACGAAAAAGTTTAGGAACTATATTTGCAAATGATTAAATATATTATTTTTAGTCGCGAAATAAAAATAATTTGAAACTAAAGAAGGAAATTAGAAACGCTGCCTTAAACATGTACTTAGACGAGCTTTGATAAATAGTGAAAGTTCAGCAGCGAAATTGAAATTATAATTAAGAATTAACTTGAAAATAACATTTATTCCCTTAAAGGAAATGTTTTTAACATGAATTTGGCACAATGAAACACATTGATAGAGCAGACTTTAACCAATCATTTCTACATTTAGACTTATTTAGCTAGGAGACAGTACGGAATATAAAACCCTTGAAGGATAAACACGAGTCAGACCTTAATATACATACAAGTTTTAGTTCCAAACTCACGGATAAATTGCCAATGTCATCGAAGCAGAGGATGGTGGGGGTGGAGGGGGTGAGGGTGTCGTAGGCGGCCCGCGAGACGTAGCTCAATACCGCCTCCTCCAGCTCCTCTGTTGACGTCGACGAGGTTACGTTCACTGTAACTGTAACCTGAGGGGATACGAGTGAGTGAGCGAGCTATCATATCCAGTACCAGGATATGAAACAGCAAATAACGTAATGAAACAGGAAATAAACAGTTGGCAAATAACGTAAATGGGGGGCGGGAAAAAAAGACAAACAAGAAGCTATGAACACCACCAATGCCAACAGATTGTAAAAAACAAAAAAAATAACCCTTACAACGCATTTCATTTGATACAAACAAGAATCGAGTACAAATAACAGGCAGATAAATAACGCAATGAAAGAATACAAGCAACCGTTATTCACACAGAAAAACAAAACAGGTATTGTGAAGTAATGAGCGACATACCCAGCTCTTGAGAGCCCTCAAGGTCGCCAGGGCAGTTGTTGTCTTGCCGGAAGCCGCCGGTCCCACCACCACCAGCGGCCGCCCTGCCTGCTGCAACACTCATTCATGTCTCATGCTAAACCAAATCTTAAAAAGAGTCTATTATTGCAGACGAGGAGTCACAATAACGTGGCTGAAATATGTTGACCAAACCTCACACTAGAAAGTGAAGGGACGACGACGTTTCGGTCAGTCCTGGACCTCACAATCCTCTCACAATCGACTTGAGAATGGTCCTGGACGGACTGAAACGTCGTCGTCCCTTCTCTTTCTAGTGTGTGGTTTGGTGAAGGGTCTATTATTTATATTACATATTCTGAAATTTGTACAAGTTTACTAGACAGCTCCACTCTTCTTGTGAGGGGACTAACCATATCGCATACACGTAATTATACAGTACAAATATGAAAAATGTATATTTTACTTATATATAATAATAATAATAATAATAATAATTTATTTAGGAACAGTACATGCATAGTTGCAGCGTTACAGTACAAACATTCTGTTAGATTTAAAGATAGAGGTAGTACATACAATACCTAAAGCCACTAGTACGCATAGCGTTTTGGGCAACGAAATATATACGAATATATACGAATATACACGAATATACAAGTAGTATACAAACTACTAACTGCCTTATCAGTGTATATACTATCTTCGCTTTTGGAATCTACTTAGAAAAATCAAAATGAAGAGTTTTTTATTTTAATATTATTTAATTTTTTCAATATTTTTTAGTATTTTATTTAAATTATTTTATTAATTTGAACTCGGATCTTCTCGCGAGAATATACAAGGATTCTTTTGTTTCAACTTGCCAAATTATGCAAGTATAATAGTTTATTCTGGCTATGAGGGCGTCCTAAATCTGCTAGCTCTCTCCCTGGCGGCACACCATGATACTCAAGTTCGACTTAATGTGACGTATTTCACGTCAGTTCACAACGTATCTTAATTAATACATTTAAGAAATTTTGTTGAAAATGCTAGTTATACCAACTTACTGTAACCATATTCTGGAGTACCCAACTCAACCTTCGGGTCTCGCCTGAAGGAATGAAGGGAAGCCCCAGTTGACGTGTGTCTGAGGGAGGGTCGTCGTCGTCCCTGGCTGGTGGCGCCGTGTGCCAGGGGCGCCAGCAGCTGCAGTCAGCGTCCCACAGCTGCTCGTACACAGGACCGCTGCAGCCTCCCAAACTCTCCAGCACTTAACACAGTGCGCGAAAAATATAAATGACGAAAATTAAACAAAAAAAAAGAGAGCCATTAGCAGTAGATTCAATGTTTTATCTACAGATATAATGATGGCAATTGCGGCCGCCCCAAGGACATGATTCGTCAAGCAGTTATGCAACCCCTTACAAAACCTGTACATCTTTCAACAATCATAACAGCTTTATTTGCATTTGATAACTGGTTATTAAATGTAAATACAAATTGGAGCTCTTTAATAAACAGTTATTAATGAGCTCCGAAGCACTACGAGGTTCTTTATAACAATAACCTTCGGTTGTGAAGTTCCTAAGCTTACTGTTTAATAAATGTAAACAAGCAACCATGATTAAGGAAAGATGTACAGGTTTCGTAACTGACTCCGCAGTAAATGTATGATGAATCCTTGGGCTGGACTACAGAGTATTGTATTACCTTCTTGTAGTGGAACCTCGAGAACTTTATCAGCAACCGCGTTATCAAGAGCACAGGTGAGAGTTTCTTGCAATTCCGGCAAGAGTGACGGGTCAACAATTGACCTGGTGACCTGTATCACCGCTTGCACTCTTGCTGCTACATGATGCACGCTCATACCGTCGCTCTCACTCAAAGATAAGTTGTCTATCTGCTCCATCTATCGCCAGTAGAGGAAGAAGCAGGCGATGAGTCACAATAACGTGGCTGAAGTATGTTGACCAGACCACACACTAGAAGGTGAAGGGACGACGACGTTTCGGTCCGTCCTGGACCATTCTCAAGTCGATTGTGAGAATGGTTCTCACAATCGACTTGAGAATGGTCCAGGACGGACCGAAACGTGGTCGTCCCTTCACCTTCTAGTGTGTGGTCTGATCAACATAGAGGAAGAAGTATTAAACAATCAAAAGAGCAGCAGAGGCTCATCCTAGCACCGCTCTATCAACACTCATCAATAATACACTTTAGAAAAGAATTTTCTCAGTATTCCTAAACGATACTTATTCTTATACATTACTGATGCCGATATTCTTTATTTATGAACCCCCACTAACTGAACGGAAGAGATACTGAACTATACCGATATACTGAATTAATTTCTCACCCGCTTTCATGGAAACAATTAAGTTTAGCTCCTTACCCAAATATTTGCATAATTTAATCCGGATAAATTTATATTTAGAACAAAATGAACTCTCAATAACTCACAATATCCACCGCAGCGAAGTGCTGTGAGCAACAAGAGCTCTCGCCGAGAAGTTGCAACACAGGTTGCAGCAGTCGATATGTGAGCCAGTGCATGACCTCCACAGGTGCAGGTGGCTCCTGACGCTGCTCAGGCACCACAGGTGTAGCAGGTGTGCTACTCAGGACGCTCCTGGGGGTGACGGAGGCCCGGCTGCTACTTTGGCGGTCGCTGGTGGGCGTCGGGGGGACGAGATCCGGCTTGGGTAAGAGTGCTGCTGGAGACAAGGTGTCGGGGTCGACCTGGACCACGCCGGCCCGCCCCAATACCCACGAGGGCACCTCCTCCAGGCCACATGCCTGCCAGGTGCAAACAGTAAGTCCACAACAGAACGTAAACACCAGTAATAACAGTAATAAGGACAAAACAGTAAATATACACGTTTATTATACAAGAGAAAACTTTATTTTGAGATATTCTGAAAAGGCTAACTGTCTCTTCATAACAAGGACTAACATTCTATTGAGATATACTGGAAAGTCTAACGTACTTTTGACACATACGAGCCATTTTGTGTTATAGAAACATTTGAGCGGACTGTTGTGTTACAACAATGCATAAACGAACCTCTACAACAAATGTGAGATTTGAGTTGGATGGGAGAGCAGTGAGGGAGTCGAGCAACAGGGTGCCAGGGAGGTCTTGGAGACGGAGCAAACACTGGCTTGCTTCTTTTCCTTCAAAAACCACGAAACTGTAATTGAATATGCATTTTCATGAGGACTAATGGATGGAGAGGAATAGAACAAATTGATGTGCATGATATGAAGCAAATGTAGATGAAAGGTATTGGAACTAAACTGTCTTGACCTGTGTGTGGAGCCGACGGCCAACTGCTGCAGGAGGCGCGGCAGGAGACCATCTTCACTTGCAGTGCCCAACAACCTGCTCTGACTATAGCTCTGCATCCATGACCAGACACCAAAAACAACATTAATTTTAGTAATAATTACAAGAATTACTTTACAAAATATCTAGCTGTGCATTATTGTTTTTGGTGGGCGAATCTTATTAGTATAAAATCACTATTAAATCGAAAAAAACAAGATGAAAATCATCATATTTACATGAGGCCTTAACGTATAGAGTTGTTGGTTGACAAGGTGCCTGGTGGACGTGAGTATATCAATGTCAGTGCCATCCATGTCGTCAGTTGAAGCCGTGCCTCTGTCAGTGGTGCTGATTTGTGAGCGATGCGTTGATCCCTGGTCGGGGCCTTGACTCCTAGAGGACCTCTGCGCCAGGGAGAGACGCAGACCGTGGTCACGCTCGAACACCTGTATGGCCGTGGTGATGATAGTGGTCTTGCCTGAACGAGGCGGTCCAACTAAGACAACACAGCGCCAGTCAGCCAGAGCCTTGGCTACAGCTCCAATGGCTTTTATCTGAAAATGTATTCATTGGTCACTTTTCTATTGTGCCTGAAAAAATTATACCAGGCGCATCCTGGGCAACATTAAATATTTTTTCTTGAAATTGATTTAATGGATAACATTTTGGATAACATCAATTGTACGTGCGTCGCCATTTCAACGTATACGATACAATACAAGTTTCACACCTAAAAATGTCTATTTCGAACCTGTTGTGGATGGACTCTAAGTCCCATTTTCCGTAACAACGTCTCTGGCTCGCGGTCTCCAGCGCTGCCTTCACCACGGTCCGGCGTCTTGGAGAAAGTGTAAAAGACTTAACCTTAGCATGATCTAAAACAAAATTATATCAGTATATATTTCATGATAATGAAATATAACATCTTTAATTTAATGATGCCGCCCTAAATCACTTCTAAAATGGGACATTTGATTGAATGATTCATCTTGTGTATAATTTACATAAAGTGTTACACTTACACAAACTACATATTGTTTAAGATTGTTTGCTTGGGCTGCTCATACTCTCTAATTGTCATGCTTTTCTGCTTACTTTGTCTTTATTCGCACAAAAACAGCAGATAAAATAATTTATATGAGAAATTCATGCACAGAGCATGTACATACTTGTATAGCAATACACTCATGCACACAGCGGGTACATAGCTAGTTCATAGCAGGTACACAGATATAGAGTAGGTACAAAGCTGATACTTAGCACGCATGCATTATGTAGATGCATCACAGCTACAACAACAGTCAGGGTAGTCACTGGAGGAGACGGTGTGTGTGGAGGATGAAGGAGGTCCAGCACGCTGGAGACTGCCAACGCACATTCTTGGGGAAGGCGTGGAGACAGTACGTTCCTATAAATAAGTTGATGTTAATAATTTCTCGTTTCTTGCAGGGTCTGCGTTCAATCCCCGATAGTCCACGTGGTTGAACATCGTTCCTTCACTCCGTCTCCATATTCTCCATCTCAGTCTGTCCTCATATCCCTTCCAAGTATTACAGATCCCTTCAAGTATTAAGGATCCCTACAAGTATTTAGGAAAAAGTTCGCCGACCTAATTCTTCCTTACACATGTAGGTTTGTGAAGACAATTACTTTCGTTTACCGAAATATTTGTGCATCAATATCTAGTTTAAAAGTATATATTGTTGGTTTGTACTTTAGTATCTAGGCTCCTAATTATATTATCAGGTTCTTCATTTGCCTTCTTGACTTCTTTTTTCGCACTTTGAAAAGGCTTTTTAATTCTGGAAAGAAGACATGGGCTTACCTGAAGGCGCCCACGGCAGCTTCAACAGCGGAGCTCGAGTAGTGTGTGGCCTCCATCACCCGCATGACCTCTCGCATCAGTCGCAGCTGGAGTCGCAGACCACGAGTCGTTGTCTCCTGCCTCAGCGAGCCCAACACTTGACGGGAAACTTCGTCAATGGCCTCACAGACGTCCTGAGAGGCAAGACACGTAGCGTTGATCTCACTTGTCTCAGTCAGCCCAATACGTGACAAATAACTTCTTCGAAGGCCTCGCATACTCATATGAAATAAGTAATCATTAACAGCTTAAAATCACACTTTTAAGGAGGAAAGGGAATTGTCAGGGGGAAAAGCACCAAGCCATTACGACTATACAGCACTGTGAAGGGGTCAGGATAAGGATTTGGGATGGGTCGGGGAGGGAAGGAATGGTGCCCAACCACTTGGACGGTCGAGGATTGAACGCGGACCTGAATGAAGTGAGACTGTCGCTCAACCGTCTAGCCCAAGTGGTTGGGCAAGAAAGAGGAAAGAACCATTGCTATCTTTACAAGAAATACTCCTCAGTTAAGGTTAGAGGCAGCTAATATGTTAGGTTAATAGATTGTGGTTAGTAGCTTGAGATGCTCTTTAAACACTTCAGAAAGAAAAGGAACAATGACACGAGTGTTCGGGAAGCTTGAGAGATGATGTGGACAAACACTCAACTGCTGTAAAGGAATTGGCAAAGGCTCATAAAGGTGTTGGTGACAATGAGAAATTTCTGAGCAAACTTGTTCACGAGAAAAATATCGAAATTTGGTACTTCGAAAAACTATAAACTATCTGGAAACTTTTAAATAAATTCACTCCACAACTTTTAACTATTCACTGTATTCACCGATGTACATCTTATAACCTTTAATATATAATAAAGCAAAACAAATGCAAAAAAGGAGAGTGGTAGGACAAAGGAATATGGAAACTGCAATGGAGGGGACCCAAAAATTCCCTCTCATGCGTTGTGTGATATATATATATATATATATATATATATATATATATATATATATATATATATATATATATATATATATATATATATATATATATATCACAAAAAACACGTATATATATATATAATCACAAAAAACACGTGATTCTCTTATGCGTAAGTAGTCACTATCGTTTCATTTTGCCAGTAGATTTCATTTCGCTGGTGAATACTTACGCATAGCATAGCTTGAGGTCCTGTGTGTTTACTAGTTGTGTTTTTGCGGGGGTTGAGCTTTGCTCTTTCGGCCCGCCTCTCAACTGTCAATCAACTGTTTACTAACTACTTTTTTTTTCTTTTTTTTTTCCCCACACCACACACACACACCCCAGGAAGCAGCCCGTGACAGCTGACTAACTCCCAGGTACCTATTTACTGCTAGGTAACAGGGGCACTTAGGGTGAAAGAAACTTTGCCCATTTGTTTCTGCCTCGTGCGGGAATCGAACCCGCGCCACAGAATTACGAGTCCTGCGCGCTATCCACCAGGCTACGAGGCTGTGGCTGTGTGAGTGTGTGTGTGTGTGTGTGTGTGTGTGTGTGTGTGTGTGTGTGTGTGTGTGTGTGTGTGTGTGTGTGTGTGTGTGTGTATGTGTGTGTATGTGTGTGTTGCAAATATTTACATTTTAGCACATGCTTATTTGTGTACACGATAATATATTTAACCTTAAATGTAACAAGGCCAGCTAAAAACAAAGTATTAAAGCACGAAGCATACAGAAGAAGACAAGCCACGAGACGTAATAACGAAGCCGAGCATTACACACCTGCGCCTTGGGCACACCATAAGCCTGGAGCCAGGCGAAAACCAGGGCGCGAGCCGGCGGAGCTGATATCCAGACCGGTCTGCTCAGTGCTTCCAGGGAGCCGGGAAGGGACCTTGGGTAAGGCACTCCAGGCGACGCTTCCAGTGCTCCAAGAGGCACTCTGGGTGAATTCTCGGGTGCTTCAGTTGAGAGGAGGACACCTGCGGCACCGTGCAAGCGCACCTCTTGCCCATTTATCTGGTGTAAACAAAAAGGTATGCATTAATAGGTGAAACAACTCAGAGTCGACACCACAAGATAGAGGTTAAAAACAGATTTGGATGCCGATTTTGGTCACCGAAACTAGTAACGTTCAGAGGAAGTAACAAATAGAAAAATTATGCTACTTATTATATCTCTAAATCTCTCTGTATCTCCCAGTATCTCTCTCACTCTCTTATATAGTCACGTATGCATGAGTTTTAAGTATTCTTATTTGGCCTAAGACATTGCAATAAGAGTTACAAAAGATACACAATACATTCAGCATAAGTTATCACTCACGAAAACATAGTTGGAGCCCAACATACCTGGATGACAGGTGAGGAAGGCGTGTAGGTGTGGGCGCGATGAATGTTGAGGAGAGTTGAGGCCAGAGACGCCAAGATGGCGGGCGTGGCAAGGCTCACCTCACGAAGCAACAACCACCAACCACCGATCAACGAACCTGGCGAACGAAAAATCAAATACTTATCATTGTTAGGCCTACATATACTAGATGCGTAAATAAAATCTAAAAACAACTTAAAAGGCAATCATTTTATGTACATCTAAACTCTGATTTTCCTTAAAATACACAAAAAAGTTTGTGCAAGCAAAATACACATTGAACTTGCCCATCTCTCTACTTTTTTAAAAGATTTCAATGAATAGTAATTCAAGGCTAATGTATCGAGGAAATTAATATTAGAAATAATAATTTGAAATGAAAACAAATTCTAAAGTTAAAATAACAAATATATAAAATTTAAAGGCTTATCTCTCCTTTACTAATCTAGCAGCAGTGAAGTTAGAGGTGCTGGCGGGACGTGAACATTAACCTGCCAGCAGTGAAGTTAGAGGTGTTGTTGTTTTAGATTTAGCTACTCAGAACGAAATGTCCATGTAGCACGGGCTATGGTGAGCCCGTAATATGAGTTAGAGGTGCTGGTGGGGCGTGAACACTAACCTGCCAACAGTGAAGTTAGTGTGGTTGTTGGAGTGAGAGCAGAGAGAGTGAAAGCTGTGGTGAACCTCCCGGCCAGGAACGCTGCGGCCTGTACCAAGCTCTGCCTCCCACCTCCAGTCCTCGCTGCCACACCACAACACAAACACCAACCCAGAAACACTCCAGTTTAATCACGTGTCGTTCTTGACACACACACACACACACACACACACACACACACACACACACACACACACACACACACACACACACACACACACACACACACAAACACACACACACACGCACACACATATATATATAAAACTCTTTCTGATATAGTTTGAAGGTGAAGCTCTTTAAATTATTTAAGAGATCAAACTGCATAATGTGTGTTTACTGGCATATTTAACGTTAAAAAGAGCCACAGATTAAACCATGAACATAAATGTTTGCCAATACAAGACGGAAACTTATCCGAAAGAATTAAAATTAGCACATAAAAGTATAAATTGGTAACATAAATGAAGTTATAAACAGATTAACTATTTTTCATACATTTTTATAACTATTCCATTTACTAACCAATTAGCAGCGGCGGCGTGTGAGCGGCTATAGCCGTGAAGAGAGCGACCAGTGACCGCTCAGTAGTGGGGGTTATAACATAGTCCTCCTGGCCACACCCACTATACTCATAACCGTACTCTATAGCACCTGTAGAGGTAGAAATATAGTTAGTAATTGGCTAGCTTTCTTTCAAGACTAGTTTGACTAGTTTGACTAGTTTGCTAGAAAGGTAGATCACATACAGAATCTTCCCAAGATATTTTAAATATACAAGTATTTAAATATTACATGTTTATCTGTTGATGATTTGGGGTTCTTCTCCTGCAGTCTGGTCTGTGACCAGCCTTCCCTGGTGATTACCTGGTCTGTGGCTGCTTATGACCTCATTTACGACCTCACATGATTAACAAACAGTAACCGCATATGCAAGACACTCGGGGTATACATGCAACACAAAGTTCACTTTAATCCTTAACTGCGTTTGGAATTTATGAATAGATTTGCTTCTTTATCCCAAAGAGTCCGCACGTCGATGGACACCAAACATTAATATGTGGTCAATTAATCGGAAAAAAGATATAAATAGTACCACAATAAACTATAGTCACAAGCACTATAACACAGTATAGTTACAAGCACTACAACACACAAGACTATAGTTATAAACACTTTAACACAGTAATTATCCACAAGTGCCTATCCAAAACTATCATACAGGAAATACAAGCCCATGAACAAGACTTAGGGAAGTACTAAGCTACAAGATACTGACGATAGGCCACACAAAGCTCCAGTCTGGCACTCTGGGAGTGCCACAAGTATCTGGGAACAGAGATCCAGGTGAAGTTGTCTACATTGTTTGCACTGAAAAGACAAAAAAAATATTACTGTAACATCAAGCAACATAGCAAAACATTTCTTATATTATACAATTTTTTTTTTTAATGGAAGAGCATTATAATAAACATTTGCAATGGTTTGGCGAATATGCTAAGTGAATATACCAAGTGAGTATGCTAGTTGAGTATACCATATGATATACCGGATAAGAATGTCGTGTGACTGTGGTGAATGAACATGTCAGGTATGTTGCTGGGTCAATTTGCCAAGTATACCAGATACGTATGTCAAACTGATTACCAAGGTTATGAAAAACCCTTCGGTACAGGAAAATCTGGCAAAAAAACTGATGTTTACTTATGTCTGACGAGTCTTGAGGTGACATCTCTAGCGTGAATGAGAGCCATGAGAAGAGGGAGGCACCTGGAAGCTGGAATTGGAACCACTGAGGTCCTACGAGCCGTCCGACGAGACCGTCCAGAGGGGGTCCGCCCAGAGCTCAGAGGCAACATTGGCTCCTGTAATATAGCAGATTGGCTCCTGTAAGCAACACAGCAGATTGCCTCCTGTAAGCAACACATCAGATTGGCTCCTGTAAGCAACACATCAGATTGGCTTCTGTAAGCAACACATCAGATTGGCTCCTGTAAGCAACACAGCAGATTGGCTCCTGTAAGCAACACAGCAGATTGGCTCCTGTAAGCAACACAGCAGATTGGCTCCTGTAAGCAACACATCAGATTGGCTCCTGTAAGCAACACATCAGATTGGCTTCTGTAAGCAGTACAGCCTCGAACCCCTGACCGGAGGAGCCGCCACCCAACGTCCCCAAAGGCCGGAAGGTCGACTATTTCTTATCAATGCTTTTTGATAATAGACAAATTCCTGCAGGTATTTTGCCTCACCTGATATTCTGCTTCCTCCTCATCCTCTTGACGTTGGCCTCTCCCCATCACCCCCAGCAGGAAAGAAATGTCTTCATTTATTTTCAGTAGCTGTTGACGTAAGGCTTGTCGAGCTCCCTGGTGATGTGGCAGAGTTCAACATGTAATGAGATCACAAGAATGGTTGTAAAGCTGCTCAAATCATATGATTTTTAATGACTCGAAGCAGAACATCAATACGAAATGAACTTTTTTTATTAAACAATTTATAAATAAAATGATTCCGTGTTATGCTCCTATTCAACCCTTCCTCTTAAAATGATAGTATTAATTGCAGCTAGTTGATCGAACGTAAAAAATGGATTGTTGCAATCTAACACTTCTCAGGTGTATTAATAAGTCAAAACGCTAAAATTTAAATACTGCTAGGCCTAGTGTAGCGCATATTTTGTCCGATGTTAGGCTTAATTAGGAATGCTTGGGAAAGTTTGATTAAGTTCTTCAGTTACTGTCCACGTTTTTAAATTGCCATTTGGACTAATTCAGTAACACAAAAGGTGAACTTTTGGGGGTCCACCAGTTCACTTTTATACATTTAACCAAATAGTGGATATTACTATCATTATTGGTGGATGGCCTATAAACTATTTTGACTTTTTTTGTGTTATTAATAAATAATGTACTTGATTGTTTATTATTTTATTTGTAAACTAAACGAATTGTAAATGTACACCCATTTGTGTTTTTTTTATTAAATTTGTAAAAATACAGAATAATGTTTTAACTCTGATTATTGGTGTAACTTTCCTGAACAGGCACAAACATTAATATGCACAGGTATTAACATTTAATTTCTTGCGAGTAATTCTATCAAATGTTGGTGATGTATGTCTGTGAGTGTGAGGGAATGTGGAAATTATATTTGTGAATGTAGTGGAATGTGGGAATATTGTCTGGGAGTAAGATGAAATGTGATACATCTGTTAGTGTGGTGGGAATGTGTGAATGTTATGTTTGTAAATGTGGTTGTTACGTGACACTACTACAAGCATGGCATAAAATAATTATTAAATTTGAACCCACTTTAGTATGGGTGTGGAGAGCCAGGTTGACACAGGCCGCCCACCACACTCTCCAAGCTATAGTTACTCCAACCACTTGAACTTCCTGCAGTAGCGGCCGCCTGCCGATAACGGAACGAGTATTAATATATACTTGCTCGTATTATCCCATACTCTTGAACTTATCATTGCAACGCCACCATACGCCAAAGTTTCATTTATGTAAGTCTGTTAATTCATATTCAATATTTTCATTATATAAATCAAATCTTACGTTAAGCGCCCTTGCATCCCTAATTCTTCAATGGCTCTGCGTACTGCAGACTTGACGGCAGAGTGCGTACCATCGAGGAGGTCCTGCATAGCCACGCCAATGGCCACACCGGCCCCGTCAAGCTGTACAGGCGAGGACAGAGCCAGCTGCTCCCCTTCCATACTTACGAGCCCCGTCACTGACCCGTTACACGATTTTATTGACGAGATATTGTTGAAAATCTGATGGAAAAACAAACGGTAATTCGGAATGTATTTGTATTGGTGTATATGCATTATGTTCCCTATTGAGGTTATGAAATTAATGTCAAACATTCCTTGATATTCCTCGCATTAAGATGTATTCATAAATATTTTATTGACAGCTATTTATCTCGGTGTTATAAACAATGGTATGGCTTAACTGTCCAATGTATTAAAAACTTTAAACCAATAATTTCTTTTCAATAAATAGTTATATTTGAGTCTTCTTATTTTTCAACTATAAAAATATAAAAAGAATATTTAAGTAATACAGAGACCACTTAACATAACCAGTTAACCGTTGTTAATACACACACTTAGATGACAAGGGAATCACTAGAGAAACATGCCAAAGCTGACCCATAAGTCTTACACCACACTTACAAAGTGAACGACCACCTTCAAGTGAACAGATGGAGAAAATCGAAACCTTATGTACCACTTGTCCAACCCTTAAGAATATAAAAAGTCTACAGAAACATAAAAAAACAAATCCAGATCAAAGAAATGTAAACTATGATGAAAGATTAAAGAATCCGCGAAGGTTTACCTTTAAAGACTGTAAAAACAGGTATATGATGACTATATGTAAGATTTAAAGAGAATTTAGAAAAAGCGTCCATGGCACCAGAGTACTGGCCAAACAGTGTATATAGAACTAGAATATAGTACTTGTTTTCAAAGTAAACAAGCGCTTCCTGTTCATGTACTTCCAAGTAATCACTCAGATGGTCAGAGTGGCCTTCAGGTAGAGGAAATATACAGAGTTATAAGATAAATGTGACAACCGACGTATTGCATTAAACAAAGAATGATCGCCTGTCGGACCTAACATTGGGTTCCTCGTTCGAGCGAGGCTGTAAGCACATCTAGCTGAGTACACTGACAAAGTATCTTTATCTGAGTACACTGACGAAGGTGAGTACCTCTAGCTGAGTACACTGACGAAGACGAGTACATCTAGTCAAGCACACTGACGAACCAACTTCCAGTTTCTCAGCTCACCTTATGAACGAAGGAATTCGCCACCTCAGGAGTGGGCTCAGCCACCAGAGACATGAGTTCTCGATCCGTCAGGAGGTGGAGTCTCGGACACTGACGACGAGGACGCACCAGGAGGGAACCCGCCTTCGTCACCAGCGACTGAGCCGACAGTTTTAATGCGACGATCTCCTGAACGTAGCTCTTGTTCCCAGCAAGCTCGAGGACAAATGCTCGCCTCTCTGTCCTCTCCAACAGCTGAGTTAGCGGAAGACAGTAGTGACACTATTAGATGCGGGCGATGAGTCACAATAACGTGGCTAAAGTATGTTGACCAGACCACACACTAGAAGGTGAAGGGACGATGACGTTTCGGTCCGTCCTGGACCATTCTCAAGTCGATTGTGAGAATGAATCGACTTGAGAATGGTCCAGGACGGACCGAAACGTCGTCGTCCCTTCACCTTGTAGTGTGTGGTCTGGTCAACACTATTAGATGCATTTCGTCTACGGCGATACCGTGTAAGTCAGTAAATGTTGTCAACTCTGTAATTCAGTTAATCTATGTAATTGCCAATCATAACAGGAATGAGGATGTAGACCCACAATATGCATAGCAAGCTAGCACATTTAAATTACTGTTATTATAGTGAGTCTAACTAGTTGTTTAGTTATTAGCCTATAATCATGAAAAAAAATTATCTTCCTTTTGGTGGTTAACTATTTTATATTTATTTTCCCTGTTACTATAACTTACACTAATTATACCACAGTCCTCGTTATCTGTCTTTATTCATATTATTGTAATGTTTTAGTAATCAAGCCTAAATAACTGAAACAGGTTTCTTTAACCGATGTAAACCTCGCCCTGAAGGCTGGAGTCCCCTCACCTGTCTATGCTTCGCTCTGAAGTCTGGGTTGGCTTCCGTCAAAAGACTGACGGTATGAGAGAGGAGGAGAGAGACCTCTTCCTGGGCGTCCTGCCACGCCTCCAGCAGGTCCTCCACCATCACTAAGCTCTTCGCCAGTCTGCTTGCTTCGGGCTCAAATGGACGGCAGTATCTGCCATACAAGAAGTGTAGCTTTGATATCTCTTCACGCTGTCGAGGCCAAAGAAACTCCTTGATGGAGGAGCTCTAATTAACTCACCGTAGACATTAAATGAACTCATAGAGGAGTTCAAAGCAACCTATATTGGGGCTCAAATCATCAGTCGTGGGGCTCAGGGCAACTCATCATGGAGCTCAAAGCAACAGGTCAAATTTCATTTTATTGTGAAGTACTGCCCGTCCCACTCTAGAAGCAAGGCTAACATTTCATCATACACATTATTTTAAGTATTATATATAAAGTTATAATACAAAATACTGTTTAAATATTTACTTATCTAATGAGGTGAGGGAAAAACAATGGCAGATTGAAGCTCGAGGTCACTCACTGTGCATAGTTAAATGTGACCCTTACTATCTATAATTAGCCGAGTGTAATAAGCTTTACTACATCATTGTCACATCTTCGTACACACTAGCCTGGGGCTCCTCACTGCTGCAGTTACATAAAATATAAATAATTCTCTAAGTGCACAGGGATATGTATACTTGAAGATGAACCTCGCTTCTTGGTGTATCCACACAGAGTTTAACTGAAGCCCTGGACTATGTTTAGGGCTGATATATTGTTGCTGCCTGGTCAGTAAGCTCATGTGTGGTATTAATTACCTTCCAAAGTTAATAGATCTTAAACCTAGTACCAACATCTAAGAGCAGGGAAGGTGTATCCCACTTCTCGGTGAATATACAGAGTTTATTTTAGTCCTGGACTACGTTCAGGATGAAATTACTCAATGGTTATTCAGCAAGTTATTATAGAGGACTTCATAACCCTCCAGAGGTTGATGGGCCTCAAGCCCAACCCCTAAACCACGAGGAAATAATAGTGGGATTTAAATCCACGAGAGTACTGACCTCCAGCTGTATATGACAACACTGTGTACCCCCTAGAGAGACTAACCGCGTGCTTCTGAGGGCTCTGAGAGCAAGGTTATGATGGTGAAGGTGAGAGAGGAGCTCATCCAGACCTTCAACTCTCCACACAACACAAGTAGTTTTCACACACAACCTCGCTCGCTGCCAGAACTGAAAGATATAGACATGTATGTGAATTATTTTGGGTGAATATAAAGTGATGCTGCCTCGTATGGCAAGATGATCTTCTGCAGTTTCCGTTACTTTTAAGTGTTTATAAACTTATGTAAGAGAGAGAAAACCTAACTCGTCATATTAACAATTTGTATTAACCTTCAATTACTTGTTAACTTTAGAATTACATAAACAGTCATGTTTCAAAATGTTGAGAACTCGAGTTACTCAATGACTTTAGGGAACAGTTTTCTGTTACTCAATGACTTTAGGGAACAGTTTTCTGTTACTCAATGACTTTAGGGAACAGTTTTCTGTTACTCAATGACTTTAGGGAACAGTTTTCTGTTACTCAATGACTTTAGGGAACAGTTTTCTGTTACTCAATGACTTTAGGGAACAGTTTTCTGTTACTCAATGACTTTAGGGAACAGTTTTCTGTTACTCAATGACTTTAAGGAACAATATGCTGGCTACAATCTTACATTGGTTATTTCTTTGAGTTGATTGTTGACAAGACTCTCACGCAGGGCGGTGGCCAGAGTGGTGGATACGAGCAGCGGATGGCGAGAGAGGCGGAGTTCCAGCACATCCCACACACTCACGCTGCCCATGCCGCAGGCTGATGCCCATTTGCTCTCACTTCCTGTCAAAAACAACATAAGAATTAAGAAAATACAGAAGGTCTGTTGGCCCATACGAGGCAGCTCCTATTTACATCGCCCAAACTCAACGCTTGAAAGAATCTAATGATCTCACAACTCACCAGTAACAGCAATGAGGTGCTGCCAGTGCCGAGTTTGGACCGCTGGCTGCCTCAACACGGCCGTCACTTCCAAACTGTTGATATGATCTTCTAATCGCTGCTGCAGCGACCTCCCAACCTGGGTGTCCCTTGCACGCGCGTGTTGGTGGAGAGCGGTCAGTACGCCCTCAACTTGACCCTTCAGGTCATCCAGTTTGGCTGTGGTCCACCTCATTGTTCGCCATGTCATCTCCAAGCTCTAAAACGATATAGTTTCACAGAATTTGGAGTATTAAGACAAATTATTGATTTAAATTTGATTCCAAGTCTTCACATGAACAAATAATATTTAAGGAAAACTCAAATACACGCATAAAATAGGTCAATTTCAATGTATTTCATTTGTCAATATATTTAAAAACGTGGACAACTTATGCTGTAAATTATACTTAACAAAAAATATAATTTATCGTCCACTAAATCGCAAGCATAATAATATTGCTGCATTTAACTAAATTGAGAAAGTTTCCAACATATTATTTGAAAGAAACAAACATTCGTGATCCTGTTGAGCAAAATCACTCACTCTTAACTGCTGGTAAACACCGTAGACCTCCTTGAGGTGACCCAAGACGTGGATGGCCTCGTCTAGTCCTGGGTACTGTGTCGCCGCCAGGTTAAACACATCCTCCTCCTCGTCAAGCGCCTGACGCAGCTTCACCAGCGCTGACACCTCGTCAGAGTACTCCTGTGTCACACAACAAGGTCACCCATAAAGGACATTGTCAATAAACACCCAAGTACTGTTACACGCTAACAAGAAAACTGACCATTATATTCACAAGTAAACTGAAGCATTATTTACGTATCAGTTAATGCAGATAATCGGATTTCAAGTCTATATAATCGTGATGTTTTGATGCTTTCTCCTTATAGTTCCATTCTACCTTTTATAGTCACACACAAAACTTAGACGGTAGATTTACCCTTCTTTTAACATTGTATAGCAGGTTAATTTATCTACGTGTGCTTGGGAAGTCCAGGGACGCGCGTTCGAACTTATAATGTACCACCTCAATACCTTCTCATTGATATATCATATCGAACAAATCCACAAGAGCCGTGATGAGGGTTCGAACCTGCGTCCGAGAGGATCCCAGACGCGCCTTAATAGACTGTCAGCGATTAAGTGACTCATCACGGCCCTTGTGGATTTGTTCATTTGATGCATCACGCAATTGTGATTTATGTGTGTAATATTGACCAGACCACACACTAGAAGGTGAAGGGACGACGACGTTTCGGTCCGTCCTGGACCATTCTCAAATACAATCGACTTGAGAAGAGTCCAGGCTGGACCGAAACGTCGTCGTTCCTTCACCTTCTAGTGTGTGGTCTGGTCAACATACTTTAGCCACGTTACTGTGACTCCTCGCCTGCATGTGTGTAATATATCATATTGTTGTTGTTTTCATCGTGTATTTGAGCCTGGTCTTCCTTTCTGGGGACTTGGCAGGTGCAAGCCCCAGTCCGGGGCTGATTAAGTCCTTGAAGGAACTAGAAATGAGAGGTTCCAGTCCAATTCCGTGTGTTATAAAGTGGTGATCAATGGGTTCGCCACATCCCAGTGTCGGGTTTTATTCTCTCAAAGCTCAGAAAAAAAATACATTGTTATCTGTTCAATGCTCAGTTTAATTTTTAGCTCGGTTAGTTGGGTTAAAACATCGCTGAGCCTGTACAGTAATTGGATGGTCACGCATAATGGGTATATCAGTAGTATGTTGCTTATTCTTTAAAGTTGTACATACTTTTGATTCCCCAAACCTGATATCACAGCTGGCCTAGTACTGCCAAATTATTTAAATGCTCAAAATGGCTGACACACCCATATCTCAATGGTTATACCATATTTTCACTAAACTACACACAGCATACTCAAAGCCACACTCCATACAACATACCTACATCACACTACATACAACATACCCACATCACACAACACACAACATACCCTCAAAAGTTCAACACCCTTCTCCAAATTATCCCCGACAGCACCAGGACCCTGGGTTTCGAACTTGTGATAGAAACGCTTCACCGACTCCTGGAACTCTGCAACCTTCTTCTGCGTGTTGCATAGGAAGATTGTCTGCACCGGCTGGACAGCTTTCTGCACAGTGATAGCGCTCTGGTGAAGCTCCTCCAGTCTGTGTGCAGAGTCTTCCAGTCTCGCGTGGTCGCTCTCCAGAACCTGGACACAAACACACACAAGATGTCACGCTAAACACACACAAGATGTCACGCTAAACACACACAAGATGTCACGCTTTACACACACGCCGCGGGAGCGCCCATTTCCAGAACAAACACAAGGTAATGGGCCACCAGCACACGGTAATGGGGACGAACATTTAACTTAGGCTGGTCAGGGTAGACCTAAGTTAAATACTTTAACAACTGTTAGAAATAATAAAGAGCCTCCCCACGCCGAGTTTATGGAGTCATGGATGCAAAAGTCCAATGTGAAATACGGCATGTGATTAACGTAGAGTTTTGAATTTCATAATATAATTTCTAAGACCCACACATTTGTTTCAGTGCTTTTTAATCATTTTCTGAGAGACAGGGGACGAGGAGAAAGACGAAGTGGGGAAGGATAGGTAGATATTAAAAGATGGACAGATAGACATAGTTGGATAGTTAGATAGATGGGCGAGTAGACAGATGGATAAATAGGTAAATGGATAGATATAAGACTGTCTGACCCGGGCAACGCCTGGTACCTCCCATACTAAAGTAAATATATGCTAAACATTCTCTTTGTTTCCATGTAAAAATCCACTATTTACAGTAATATTAATATATTAATCTACTATCCAAGCTTATAATTCACCTTTTA